AGGAGGGGTCAAACAGAGCTGAAACTCAGACCTCTGAAAAGGAGGTGCTGCTTGGAGGGTGCTATGTCTCAGGATTCAGAGGGGCCTGTTTGGGGCCTGGACCTGTGAGTAGGGGACACTGGACAGTTTGATGCTGGTGTCTGTGAAGAAGGAGAAATGAGATGGGTTCTGTAAGTGTTGGGAAACCATAAACTGATTCAGCTGCTGTAATGGGAAGAAACTGCCTTTGCCAGAATTAAGAAGTTTGCTGATAGAAACAGGAAGCTAACAGGAAGGAAACATCCATCCCTCCTCCTCCTGTCCATTGGGATAGCTTAGCAGAGAGCCAGTTTGCAAGGAGAAACATTGTTTGCAGAGTCCCAACCCAAATTGTAAAGCAGAAGAGTGGATTTGGAACTGAGACAATACGTAATAAGAGAGTCACCTTACCCAGTTTTAGAAGGCTCTGCATGGTCTGCCTCTTTATAAGTTTCTTTGCTACAGCCACACGGCCTTCTGCCAGGCCTTTTAAGACACCATGCTTCCTCCTGCTACAAAGCCTTTAGCATATTCTATTCTTTGACTGTGATGTTCTTTACTTTTTGTTTATTTAATTTTACAGAATTGGTCTGTTGCTTTTTTGTTTAATATATATTTTTATTGATTTCAGAGAGGAAGGGAGAGGGAAAGAGAGAAACATCAATGATGAGAGAGAATTATTGATTGGCTGCCTCCTGCACACCTCCCACTGGGATCAAACCCAAAATCCGGGCATGTATCCTTGACCTGAATCGCTCTATCCACTGAGACAAATCAGCTGGGGCTGTTCGTCACTTCTTTTTATATATATTTTATATAATTTTATATATATTTTATGATATTTTACAGAGAGGAAGAGAGAGGGATAGAGAGTTAGAAACATCGATGAGAGACAATCATCGATTAGCTGCCTCTTGCACACCCCCTACTGGGGATGTGCCCCCCCCAACCAAGGTACATGCCCTTGACTGGAATCGAACCCGGGACCTTTCAGTCCGCAGGCTGATACTCTATCCACTGAACCAAACCGGTTTCGGCATTGTCACTTCTTTTTTACTTTTTTTTTTCTTTCTGTTCACTTTTTAAATGCTATACCTCATGCCAAATCTCCGTTATATGCTTTCATAACACAATTAACCTCTCTTATACCACTTGTCACAGTTGTACAACTTTATTTATTGATATGGCCTTTTTCCCCCTAAAATATATTTTTATTTCTTTATTTTTAAAAAATATATTTTTATTGATTTCAGAGAGGAAAGAAGAGGGAGAGAGAAAGAAACATCAATGATGAGAGAGAATAATTGATCAGCTGCCTTCTGCACATTCCCACTGGGAACGGAGTCTGCAACTTGGGTGTGTGCCCTGACCGAGAATCAAACGATGACTTTTTGGTTCATAGGTCCACACTCAACCCCAGAGCCACGCCAGCTGGGCTGTATTTTATCATTTTTGAAGCTATTATGAGTTGGATTGTTTTTCTAGTTTGTATAGTCTTTTGATTAATACTTGCCTAAACTCCAGGAGGCCTGTTTTTGTTTTTTGTTTTTAAATATATTTTTATTCATTTCAGAGAGTAAGGGAGAATTGAACCTGGGACCCTTCAGTCTGCAGCCTAATGCTCTATCCACTGAGCAAGGCTGGCTAGGTCCAGGAAGACTGCTTTTATATACTATTGTTTGCTTTCCCAGTGCCTAGTTTAATGGCTGCCATATAGCATAAATTCAATTTGTATTTGTTTAAAGAATTATTTCAACCTTAGCTGGTTTGGCTCAGTGGATAGTGTCGGCCTGCCGAATGAAGGGTACTGGGTTCCATTCTGGGCAAGGGTATATACCTTAGTTGTAAGCACATCCCCAGTAGAGGGTGTGCAGGAGGCAGCCGATCAATGTTTCTCTCTCATTGATGTTTCTAACTCTCTATCCGTCTCCCTTCCTCTTTGTAAAAAATCAATACAATATTTTACAACCATCACCACTCTCTTATTCCAGTACATTTTCATCACCCCAAAAGAAAACCTCATACTCATTAAGTAGCTAACTCCCCCTAACACTTTGGCAACTGCTAGTCTGCTTTCTGTCTCTTTGAGAGTACTTAATTTGAATGTTTCATATAAATAGAATTATATGGTATGTAACCTTTTGTGTCTGGTTTGTTTCACTTAGCATGTTTTCCAAGTTCATCTACTTTGTAGGATATATCAGTACTTCATTCCTTTTTATGGGCGAGTAATATTCCATTGCATGGATATACCACATCAGTTTATTCATTCAAAATTAATGGATATTTAGGTGTGTTCTAAATATTTTGGGGTCTCTTGAATAGTGCTGCTATGAACATTCATGTATATATAAGTATTGGTTTGATCCATGTTTTCAATTCTTTTGTCTACACCTAGAAATGCAATTGCTAGGTCATACAGTAATTCTATATTTAACTTTATATTTATTTATTTTTAAATTTAACTTTGTATGTATTTTTAAAATATATTTTATTGATTTTTTACAGAGAGGAGGAGAGAGGGATAGAGAGTTAGAAACGTCGATGAGAGAGAAACATTGACCAGCTGCCTCTTGCACACCCCCTACCGGGGATGTGCCCGCAACTAATGTACATGCCCTTGACTGGAATCGAACCTGGGACCTTTCAGTCCACAGACCGATGCTCTACCACTGAGCCAAACTGGTTTCGGCTATATTTAACTTTAAAAAATATTTTTATTTATTTCAGAGAGGAAGGGAGGGAAGAGAGAGATAGAAACAGCAATGATGAGAGAGAATTATTGATTGACTGCCTCCTGCATGCCCACATTGGGGATTGAGCCTGCAACCCCAAGCATGTGCCCTGACCAGGAATTGAATGGTAACCTCTTGGTTCATAGGTCAAGATGCGTGCAGAACTCACGTTGATGTTTCTCTCTCTCTCTCTGTCTCTCCCATTCCCTTCCACTCTCTAGAAATCAATGGGAAGATATTCTCAGGGTGAGGATTAACAAAAAGAAAAGGAAAATAGAAAGGGCTATCTTTATGCTGTGATATTTGTACAATTAACAAGTCACGATACTGGAATTAAAGGGAGAAAAGATTAGCTGGCCTTTTCTAACATATAACATATTATGCTTCTGTAATGATTTTCAACACTTAAAAATGAGATTTGAATTTTCAGGAAAAGGAATAGGGGAAGATTACTAATTATGCAAAATTTATTAACCCTCTAAGAGAAACACTATATGCAAAGTTAACTCAAAACAGAAAACCTCTTTGCAAATAATTTGTTTAGCAATAAAGTAATTCTATATTTAATTTTTTAAAAATATTTTTATTGATTTCAGAGAAGAAGGGAGGGGAGAGATAGAAACAGTAATGATGAGAGAGAATCATTGATTGGCTCTCTTTAGGAAAGCTAACTTTTTTGTTCGTTTGTTTGTTTGTTTCAGGTGTTTTATTAAGTGGGCCAAACTGTAGCTGGTTTCTAAGTTGCAAAACAACATAAATTAGGCAAGCTAACTTTTTAAAAATATATATATATATTATTGATATTTTTTACAGAGTGAAGGGAGAGAGATAGAGAGCTAGAAACGTCGATGAGAGAGAAACATCAATCAGCTGCCTCTTGCACACCCCCTATCGGGGATGTGCCTGCAACCAAGGTACATGCCCTTGACCGGAATCGAACCTGGGACCTTTCAGTCCGCAGACTCTACCACTGAGTCAAACCGGTTTTGGCAAGCTAACTTTTTTGAGAATTAAATATTTTCCAGACATGTTACAGACATTATCTCATTTAATCCTCACTACACTACCAGGCATTCATTCATTCATTCATTCATTCCTTTATTGAGTGTTCATCTGGCTGGGCACAAGGTTGAACGCTGAGAGTTCAGCATTATTGGCCGACTCTTAGCCTCCTAATTGTGTTACCCTCTACCTCATAGAGAAAATGGAGGATAGGTTCTCAGGTAAATTTATTTGTCCAAGGTCACACAGTATTGGAGCAGCTACAAAACCAAGGTATCGCATTTCAAATCTTTGTCCTCAATTATTAAGCAGCTAGTAGACTTTTATAAGATTTTTTATTGTATGTCATCTTCCTAATTTTTTTCAAACATTTTCCTCTCTCCGTTCCCTGGTTTTCCCCAGTATTGGCCAAAAAACAAATGGTGAGTTATAATCCTAACTGCCAGGCATCTGGGAGACTTCAGGGGTGAGGAGCCAAGACCCAGGAGCATGGGGGAGACATTTTGGAAGAAACAATAACACATACACAAGGTAGATCCTCTGCCAGGGAAACAGATCGTTGTTGTTTTTTTTGTTTTGTTTTGTTTTGACCGCTGCCTTTCTCTACTGCTTCCAAGACGGTTTTGAAGCTGGACAGCTGAAACAGAGAGCCTAGTCTGCCGGCTCCAAAAGTCCGGAACATCTCATTTTATTCTACAGCCCTTCACTCTGTACCCCGGTGCGGTCTCTTCCTGCATTCTGTTACGTGGTTTTCACTTCTTCACCCTTGGTGGATAACCTACATGATTGTTTCAGTTTTACACTACCGCCATATGGACCAAGCGGCCTGATGGCGGGCGACCTTGACAGACATCTGGGTGGGAGGTCCGGGGGAGGGTGGGGCGGTTGGCTCTGGGGATAAAACCTTCAGATGCTGTGAGGAGGCGCCACGGGGAAGTGGCGACAATGGAGTTCCACTCAGCGTCGAGTTTTCTAAAAGATTGACAGTAATCGTACCAACTGCCTTTGCTCTAGCAACTTGTGCGGTCCCGCGAGATACAGACGCTAAGCCAGAGGGCGGAGTCAGAGGCGCCGCTCCGAAAGGGGGATGGGACTATCTATGGCGCAATCATTGCGCGAGATTGAGCCGTGGTCGCCAGGGCCGTTCTTAGATCTCGCGATATTTCGGTCTATTCAGTCTGGAAGTAGTGCAGCTTCTCGCGAGAGCCCGTGCCGAGGGCTCTTGGAGGCCCCGTGTGTTTGTGTGTATATGCGTGTTAGTGAATGTGAGTACGGGGAAGCAGCGGCCGCCATTTCAGAGAGTCCGCGGACGCCGTCGCAGGGTTGAATCCTGAGCTGCCGAAGTCTCCGTCCTGCACTCCCGCGCGGGCTTCTCTAATCCCATTGTTTCTTTTAGATTCGCTCGGGCCTATCCGCCCTCGGAGCCCGAAATTCGGGCTGGGCGTACCGCGGCCCGGGCCTAGAGACTTAACTGTAGCCACAGCGGCGGCGGCAGCAGCAGCCTTTTTTCCGAATACGAGCACCACAGGGGCCCAGAAGCCCGCGCAGGTAAGGCAGTGTGGTTGAGCAGAGTATTGTCAGAGACTTTTTTTGAGGTATGGTTTTTTTTTTTTTTCTGGGTTGAGAACACTCCTTTTAGGCGATCTTTAGCGACGGGGGGGAGAGGGGGGGAGGGCGGCGCAGGTTTTCGAGAAATGGGCCCCGTTTTGACGACCGCGCCCTTCTTTTCCCGGCGGGCATGTCTCAGGGTGTTGGGGTGGCACGAACCCCAGAGAGGTCTCGGGCAGGTGATGGTTACCAGTCCCTTGGAGGCCCGGGCCGGCCCCGACCTCCCAACATGGCGCCAGCCGAACGCAGCCATGGCTCCCAACCCCTCCCAGCCGAGGCAGTTTCCCCAGCTTCTAAAATGGCAGCGCGGGTTTTGCGCGGAAAGAGGCCCTCTCGCTTGAGATTCCCGGGTTCTGCTTTTGGAGCTCATTGCAGACTCTTTAAAGTCGAACATTTACTCGGTTTTCATGTGTTGTGTGTTAGAGGCATTTCAGATTTAATTGCCAAGCCTGGCAAAGTACTTTAATCATGCCTGGGCTTTTGAAAAGGTTGTTCTGAAGCTTTTGTAATATTGGAGTCAGAAATTGAGCAGAATCGAAGGATATTTATTCATAGAATTACCTTATTGTTTCCATAGGCGTTTAGAGAAAATGGCAGACGATATTGATATTGAAGCAATGCTTGAGGCTCCTTACAAGAAGGTGAGAAAAAACATGTTGGTGAGGTTTATATATTTCTTAATTTAGCATTATTCACGAAACTACTGCTGAAATGTAAACTAACCTCCCCGGAGCCCTCTTGATTTATCTTATCAGAGATGCATTACTTATAACTTACAAAAGTAAATATATGCTATTGATGTAATAATATTGTGCAGTAGTTTCACTTCAGCGTGATGAATAAATGCCCATCTATCTCTCTTTGTAGACTTGCCTAACGATATCTCACCTCTACTCCCATGAATTCACCTTTGATTCCAGTGTGAACTGTCAATCATAAGGTAGTAATTGAGTGACTTATCGCTGTACCGTGGTCCCCTAGGTAAAATGACTCAACTAAGAATTACCAGCTCCAGTTTGGTATAGCAAAAAGGTGAATGTAGTGGTTTGGGAAAATAGCAGGGGTCCAAGAATCACAAAGTATAACCAGTCTGTGGCAAGCAAATCTTGATAAGTCTTACAAGAAGAAATGGGTGAGATTTAAATTTTTTTCTCTATATACATATAAAAAGACTGGTGATATTAAAATTAAGACAGGCAACTGATGATCTGCTGCTCAATTAAATTTACTAAAATTCTTGGATCCCTGAATAGAAGAAAAAAAAAAAATTAAAGCAAAAGAGGCAGTATCACAACCTAGAGTCACTTGATGACTTTTTTACTGTTCTCCATATTGTTTTTCTTATTTTTAATTAGTCCCTGACATATTTCACACTAAAAACTACAAAGGAAGTATTTTGGCTAATAGTCTTTGACCCATTTCAGTATCACAGTAAAAATAAAGTGTCTTTTCATTCTTTCACCAGTTGGTGGTGAAAATAGCAGTGTGCATGCATTATCACTGGTGTCACAAACTGTAAGCTTTGTAAGTTAGCAGTTATACTCCATTAACTCTTGTAATCAAACTTTAAAATAAACATTGCGCTAAACCTTTTAAAATACATTTGTTTTGGAGTGTGTAGCACGACCATGTGGTACCAATTTGGATGAATTCTTTATAGCTTTAAATACTGTACATAGTTTGTAATGCTTAAGACTCTTGAAGAGTTTTATATTTTAATGTTAAGATTCTTGTGTCTTAGTTTAACATGGATGAAATTCCATGTAAACAGGTATGGAAGTAGGAAATGTTTAGGTTGGACTGGTGGATTATTAATTGACTTTCTTGGGTTCTTGAGAGTCAACATTACTAAAGCAGTGTGAATCCCTGTTTGCTTCAGGGCGAGATGTGTGACAGAGGTGGCATCAAGCTCTTACAGTCCCAACCCTCCAACGGAAATGGGCGAAGATCTCAGGAATGGCATCGGTCACAGGAAATCGATAGTGGCTGGCTGCTAGCATGGCCACTTGGGGCTTAGGCAGAAATAGAGCCATGGTACTGACGAAAGGGACCATAGAACATGGAATAAAACTCAAACAGGACTTCATTCGTGTCTTAAAGAAATTCTGTCTAACTACTTCAACTCTGTAAATCTGGATAACTTAATATCTATCTAAGAAAGTAAAATGTAATATGTTAATATGTATTTTTTTATTTATGTGTCTTGATTTAATTGTAAGCAACAAAGTGGTTAAACACATACCCATCTAAATTTTTTTATAGCCTTCCATGTTAAAATATGAATAAGTAATTAGTTTTAAAATTGTTTTGTATTTTCTTATTCCTATTCCCTTTACCCTTTGACAACTTGAAATGTTACCACTTCGTCCTCATGATGTTCTTCTATCAACCCTGCTTAGGATGAGAACAAGTTGAGCAGTGCTAATGGCCATGAAGAACGTAGCAAAAAGTAAGTTTTAAGAAGGGACCTGGGGTGGGGGAACTTGATGTATTTGGGATCTTATTAAAGTTTTGTTCCTCTGGATGAAGCATCAAACTAAGATTCTCTTCAGAAGCTTTTCTTTCCTCTTTTAGAAAAGTGGTTCTTTATCTTTTGGGATGAGAAACTATTTGAGGATATAAAAGTGTTTTTCCTTAGGTTTTAGGATATGGTTTCAGGGACATTTTGGACACCTTCCCCTCCAAGTACATCCATGACAGTTTGGATGAGAGTTTTATCTTTTGTCTTAATGTTTATTGATGTTACAAATTATACTAAAATATCCACTGAAGATGGATTAAGAAGAAGAAGAAAAAGGAATAAATAATCAGGCCAGGGAAAGGATTGTTCGGTATAAATTATTGATTCAGAGCTATGAATTATTTAAGATCCTTGCTGATCAAAGGCCCTTTTTGTCCTAATGCTATAGCATACTTAAGTACTTATGTTGTTCTTACATAGCTTTTGTTGTCTTAAACTTTCTAAACCCAATTGGAATTTATTAGTAAGAATGGGGAGTTCTTAAAAATCGAGGGATACAATTTATTTGAATTAATGAGTAACCCAAAATAGTAACTTAGTGCTACATAATAAACAGTAGACAAAATTCTAAGTAACAGCATAAATTAAATCTACTTTATAAGGTTGGATACTATTCTTGGAGTTTCCTTTTAGTTCTAAGATTAGTGATGTTACAATAATTAAGTTGTTTTGTTAACCTATATTTGTAATGTATTAAACTATTTTATCATGTTCCTGAGCTCTTAATACTTAATGAAAAATGATGGTAAATACTCCTAGGTTATTTTTTTGCTCTTTTCCCCTAAAAATTGAAAATGTTTTTTATAATACACTACTTCAACATTTTCACAACAACTTCGTTAGGTGTAGGTTGATATAATTTCATAAAAAGATTTTTAAAAATTGTCAGAAGGGATTATTCAGGCTTTGTTACCCACATTTTTAAAAAAGTATAATCATCTCAAGATAATGTAGTAGTAATGGTTTAAAAGTAATGTAAAATGTAGTGAATGTCCTACATTTTTTTCTTGTGGGAGTCTGTTAGTTCTTTACTAGCCTATAGATATTAGGTTGGGTTTAGTCTTGACTTATTATATGTGAGGCAATCAACCAATCATGCTGGGTTTAATGTCATCTGGTTTTAGATTTTTAAACTAACTATTTACTAATTAATGGTTCTAATTTGTAATTCTATAATCCAAGAAAATTTAGGAAAGGTGTGATATTCATATATAATGACTGAAATGATCCGTTCTAGGTATCAGGCCTGGTGGGTGAGTAAAACTCATAGTTAAGTATGGAAAGAATGAGGACATACACTGTGGGGCACAGACCTTTGTTTGTACCGTTCTCAGATATCACTCCTTGCTGCTTATACCATCTCCAGTTTTACTTGTTTTCATCCTGCATTTAAGCTCATTAAGGCCACCAGGCTTTTACAAGGATTCAGTGACTGATGCTTAGTGGCCTTTTATCTAACGTAAAAAGTCTTATGAGACTAAATAGAATGGACAGTTTTCTGTAATTGACTATAGGGATTTCCCTTTATAAGGGCAAAACTTTCCAAACTACTATCTGATACCTTTTGAAGTGTACAAATTATTTCTCTGTCAGTCTTCTCAGCCTCAATTATGTATAACTGATTAAATAAATGGAGCTCTTATTCAGTCAGGAACTTTCACCACTTTTTAAATGGAATTATCTTTTCAAATTAATTTCAAAGTTACCTAGAAGAAACTGTTGTTTAGCGATGGATATAATATAAAACAAGTAAATGTTTTGTGATTAATTTTTAGTGTAAGTCAACCAAAGGAAGGTGCTACCTTGCATTTTTCATCCTAAAACTTCATTGTCTTATAAGTAATTGAGTGTTGGAATAGTTTTTAAAAATATATATTTTATTGATTTCAGAGAGGAATGGAGAGGGAGAGACAGACAGAAACATCAATGGTGAGAGAGAATCATGAGCTGCCTCCAGCACACCCCCTACTGGGGATTGAGTCCCCAACCCAGACTTGTGCCCTGGACTGGAATCAACCCTGAATGCTTTAGTCCACAGTTAGACACACTATCCACTGAGCCAAACCAGCTAGGGCAGGGTAGTTTTAAGGTAGCAGGAAAATAAACAGCTGAAAATTGAAAGACTAGTAAATGTTTTCTTTAAAAAAAGTAATAATTCTAAAAAAAGCCATGAAAAAAATTGATTCTCAATCCATATACTCATTTGTATTGTAATGGTAAAAGGAACTAAGTTTAATATAACACAAATTGGTTCTAAATTGACCTACTTTGAAAAGAGCTGTATACCCCTGACTTTGGCAAGACATCAGGTACTGGAGCTTGCCTTCATGGGAATGTTAATTCTTAGTGTAATCAGTTTTGCAGTCTAGATCAGCATTCATTCAGTTAAGCTCTTTAGGAATTAGTGAAAAGAAAAGAAAAAGAGGGGGGATAACAATAAAATGACACAGTTGAAATATATTGGCTACTGTGGTGTGGATTATCTAAATTTTGGAATAAATGACTTTTCTATTTTTTTCTTATTTTCCAGAGTACTTTGCATTTAAAATTTAGATCTTCTTACATGGAAGAGGTCAAATCCAGTTATAGCAAAACACCTTTACAGCAGAGGCCATATAACCAAAAAGTCCAAAGGCCCAGCCCAGTGGACCATTTACTTCAATGATGTTCAGTACAAAATTCCACTGCCACTAAAGACTTTGGAAAGTCCCATTAAGTTGTAACAGGATTTGACTATTAGTATGGATTTTTATAACCCTTCTTTAGTTAACTTAATATTCTGCAATTTGTTATAGAGAAGTATACTGCTTTCTTACATCCTTAAATATTTGTCTGGGCTTTTATGCAGAGAAATGTATATCTTGAATGTTTTAATCAGGTTCCTGTCATTTTACCTATCTGGGGTTGCCTTCAGATGTGGGTGGGGACTCATTAAAAGTCCTAGGAAGACCTTAAGTTGAAATTAGCTCTCCAATATTTGAGTGTTTCCTTTGATAAAATAAGTTTTGAGTCTAAAAAGAGGTAAATATGTTTGCTGCCTCTACTATGGGCTATATACGAGCAGAGCAAAACTTTGTCTTATTTGTGGAAGATTGAGTTACTTTTTACTTTGTCCTCTAATTGATTATATTTAGGACTTATATAGCTATTGCACAGACTTATTAAAAGATAGTGTCAGGTTTTTCAGGCAACAGAGTTGGAATGTTCTCTGTTGCCCTTCTGGGCATTGCTTTGATGACTTCTATATAAATAATGAGTGTAGCCTAATTTTCTGTCATGTGCTACCTAGCATATACATTTCTGACAGTCAGGTGGATTATCTTGAAATTTTAGACAAAAGTTTCTGCCTCCTTGGAAAGCTCTACATCTCCTTGTGATTGGAGTGTGGGTTTCAAGATTCCAGAAGGTGGGTGTCTTCATTTTCTATTTTCAATGCACTCTAAGATGACCTGCTTACAGGTTCTCTCTGAGGCAGACTTCAATGCTCTTGTGCTAATTTTGCTTTGATAAGGACTAAATTTCCAAATGATGTAGATTTGTCAAAATGTTCCATCTTTTAGCCACTAGAAATTGACCTTTTAGTGCAATAAGTTATTTTGAAATGTCTTTCAATTTATACTGAAATATCTGAAGGCACCTCTAAAATTTGGGTGATGGCACACTGAAGAATACAGAAATGAACAGGAAGATATTACTGACTGGCTTTTTACCTTTCAGAGTTTAATTTTTTAAGGAGATATATATGGAGAGATGTTGATTGTTGTTTGTTGCACCCCTCAGGCTTGTATAAACTGGCATAAAAATGGCATATTCCATATTCCGGTATACTCACAACTTTCAAAAGAAAGTATCTGAAATGGTTACAATAAAGTCTAGGAGTGTCAGAATACATTTTACTGCAATAGTTTGTCCTTTGTCATTCCTATAATTTTGCTCATAAAAAACAAAATACTGATGTTTGCATGGCTGTTGAAAGAATTTAAATTTAAATTGGGTCAAAAATGGCTTAAGGAAAATGAATATACTTAATGAAAAATTATATATGTGGTCCAGTATTAATACTTAACTATTAACGTATTCTATTATAACTGTATCCTGTGAATTACAGTAATACATGTTGGCCAGTTAGAAGATGAAGTTTTTACTTAAAAGTTCAAGTTTTGATCTCTATCTGTTGATAAGACCTTTTTCTTGTTAGAGCTGTAGCTGACTCTCAGGAATAGTCCCTGCTCCCTCAAATGATTCTTTGTCAACTGACTGCTGAATTTCAGTAGTAGAAAGAAAAGGGTGGGTGTTTATCTTACCTAGAAATTATTTTTCCATAAGTATGATTATGTATCATTGTATCATATGATAGTAAAACAAAATTTACAAAAATATTTTAAATTTCTGACCATAAAAGGCAGTATATTTTGGCAGATTTTAAACCAACAATATAATGATGACTTTTTTCTTCTCAGGAGGAAAAAAAGCAAGAGCAGAAGTCGTAGTCATGAACGAAAAAGAAGCAAAAGTAAGGAACGGAAGCGAAGCAGAGATAGAGAAAGGAAAAAGAGCAAAAGCCGTGAAAGGAAGCGAAGTAGAAGCAAAGAAAGGAGACGGAGCCGCTCAAGAAGTCGAGATCGCAGATTCAGAGGCCGCTACCGAAGTCCTTAGTATGTAACTATATTTTATGATGGTTTGAGAGTCATTTGCTGGGTATCCAGATAGCAATTTAATCTGAGTGATTTGAACTGTGAAACTTTACATTTCAGTGTATTTCATTAAATAAGGATATTGGCATAGAAGGACTAGTAAAGTGGAAAACTGTGGACAAATACATCTGTTTTACTCTAGGCATACAGATTATTATTTTGATGTTCTATATTAAAATATTTTAAAACTGTATGCCCAGTCCAAAGTAAAGCATTAGAATGCTTTAAAAATTTTTTTTGATATGTAATGCCAAATACATGGTATGTAAACATTAACTGAACATAAATTTATTTAAAAGTTTAAAGCTCTGATGGATGTAAGTTAAAATAGTCAAGTATGTAATTCGTTAACAGTAATCTTATCTGTGTGGCTGTTTACAGCTGAAATGATAGACCCTTTGTGAATTTGGTAGATGCTCCTGGATAATGATGATTTTGGGGGCTCATCACATTGTATTTAAGGTTGGGTTTTTTGGTTTTTTTTGTTTTGTTTTTTAAATAAAGCACTAAATGTGCTTTGAAGATTAAATAGCTAAGAAAAGTTGGATGTGGCTATTTAAGGAGCAAAGTTTCAATATAGTCATTAAAAACACCTCAACTAAATACCTGGTAAGAGTCTGTCTACACATAACTTTTAAACAGTCATTAGTGCCTTTCCCTTACTTAATAAACATACCATTATAAACTGGGGTATGTTAAAATGAAAAACTATTAATGAACATTGAAGAGAATGTAAATAAAGCACCCATCATACTGCTGTTCATGAAATGTTTTGGTGTTTGAAGCCATTAAAGTTAGTATCACTTTGAGTTCTGATTCTGGTTCTTAAATCTTAAAATAAAAATAATTGAATTCTTTGTTTTTTTAACTTCCTCCTAGCTACTTTATAAAGTGCTTAAAGGTTCTGCCATGTTTTTAATTCTAAATGCTCTATTAGAAAATATTTTGCTTTTTGTCCAACTTCTCAGTCTACTGCATTCTTTTTTAATTTTTAACCAAAATGAACTAAATAGGAGGAAAAAGGATTACATTAAATTGAATACTATATTTTCTCTGTTCAGTAATAAATGCTCGAAGTCAGCCTATGATCGTGGTCTGACTTAAAAATTAGTTCTTACATTTGGCTTCAGGTGATTTTTAACTGGAGGCAAAAATTGGGACTTTTAAAATTAAGGGAAAAGAAAGTATACATTCTTTGAACTTTTAATTTATTCAGAAAATGTATATTATCAGTATTAGCATGAATTGCAAAGGTTTAATACAAAATTTATTTGTAATTGTTTGAGTGTTGTTAAGTACATATGTAACTCATGAAAACAAATTCAAATGGTGGGTCACAGACCACTAGATAATTCATTTTGCTACCTTTCTGGAAAAGAATAACAGGATGAGCACTAAGGGACATCTGATTGTCTCTTAAATTTAGTTTATTTTGGTCTCTCAAAATAAAAGACTCCTAAATTGCTGGACCTTTTAAGAGTTATTTTAGAATAGTTGCCTTTTTGATTTTTTTTTTTTAACCTTTAATATGTCAACTCCTCAAAATAGTTTGTTTTTTTGTTTTAAAGAATTAAACTTCCTTCACATCTTTACTATGGAATATTTTGCCACAGGGAAGTGAAGTGTGATGTGCTAGATGTATTTTTATACAATCCCTGAGACTTGAATAAAATGGAATTTTGGAGTTTCATGATTATGTATAGTCTCCTTATTTTTTAAAATAAGTCTCTTAACAATACATGAATTATATGTATGTTCCTGAGGAAGGAAGTGCCGAAATGCACGCCAAATTGTTAATTATAGTATTATCTGGTGTGAGAGAAGTAAGGACTTCTATGTTTTTCTTAAACCTCAGGAATGTGTTCATAAATGTGTAATCTTTTAAAAACTAGACTAAAAATAAGTGAGCATTTTCAGAATTTAAAAATTTTGAGGCTGTAACCTTTGTTCTTTGGCACCTTTCAGTGGTCCAGGATGGATAGCTGTAAGAGCAGTTTGCTTGGGATAGAATTAAAAAGTCTATTTCCTCTTCATAATTGAGGTGGAAAAGAAGCAGCCTAAACAATGTTAAGCTTGCTGGAGAGCACATGAACGTGATCTTAGCAAGACCCTAAACCTGTAACTAGTGTAATTTTGTGTTTCCTTTTTAGCTCCGGACCAAAATTTAACAGTGCCATCCGAGGAAAGATTGGGTTGCCTCATAGCGTCAAATTAAGGTTTTTAAACATACTTCTGAATTGTTTAAATTGTTTTTCAAGGAACTGATGTGGTGTATTTGTTTGGGTAACTTCTGGAACTTTTTAACTTTGCAGCAGACGACGTTCCCGAAGCAAAAGTCCATTCAGAAAAGACAAGAGCCCCGTGAGGTAGCTGTTGTCACTATTTATTTCTTTAGAACGTTTTGCTTTTATACAGCTTTTGTAATTTATACTATTGCTAAAGTTAGTGACATTAAGTAAATTGGACCATATTAAATGTCCTTTTGTAGCATTAGTACTGTTAAATGTATTTGTAAATTTTTAACAGCTTTCCTTCTAATTTCATATAAATAATCTTAACCAAGTTGACTGGTTTTTAAATAGTCTTTGGTTTTTGCATGTTTCTATAGGTTATTTTCCTTTTAAATATAAGACTTACCTGTCCAATTTACCATTCTGTTCAAGCAATGTTTTATTATATCCGCAGCATTATATTGATAGTATTGTTCTTTACTGATGTTCTGCCTTCCCTTAAAGGGGGCCTTTATTTATTTATTATTTTATTTTTTTAATAGAATTCAGAAAGGGAGAGAGAGAGAGATAAACATCAGTGAAGAGAGAATCATTAATTGCCTTCTGCATACCCCACGCTGGGGATCATGTCTGCAACCTGTGCATGTTCCCTGACTGGAACTGAACCATGACTTCCTGGTTCACAGGTGAATGTTCTACCACTGAGCCACGCTGACTAAGCTTAGAGGAAACTTTTAACCTTGTGTTTATCCTATTTCTTGGTATATTCTAATTATTCCAGGATTTGGTAAAAACCTCAATTTTCAAAGCTCTTGCAGTTATTGACCAGTTTAACTCTAATATTTTATTTTCTTTCTAAAAATTCCCTTTCAATTATCTTATCTGGATCTAGTCGAGCTTTGTATCTCTGTTTTTAAGAAATTATATTTTCTTGATTTTTTTTTTTTTAATAGAGGAAGGGAGAGAGATAGTTAAAAACATCAATGAGAGAGAAATATTGATCAGCGACCTCCTGCACTCCCCCTACTGGGTATGTGCCTGCAACCAAAGTACACCCCCTACTGGGACCCTTCAGTTTGTAGGCCAAAGCTATCCACTGAGCCAAACTAGTTTCGGCAGAATTAAATAGTTTTTGTCATTTCAGGTTCTACTTTCAAATTTATCTTTTGTGATTATCAAATTTAATTTCGCTTAATGACTTATGGTTTTGTTGTGAGAAATCATCCTTTCTACTAACTTAAGACCAGTCTGATATGTGGCTGATTGGGGTTATATACTGTTACTGTTTGTTTATAAATGTTCAGTAGTCTGTTGACCTTGTATTATCCTGGAGAAATTACCATTTTTAAGATTGAGAAGCCAGTGGATTTTTTACCTAATCAGGCTTGGGAATAGTAGCAACCTAGTTCTATAAAGTTTATTTTGTTTACTGAAAATGCACTTTAACAAGAATTGCTATCTTTCTTACTCCTCTTAGGGAACCTATTGATAATCTAACTCCTGAGGAAAGAGATGCAAGGACGGTTTTCTGCATGCAGCTGGCAGCAAGAATTCGGCCAAGGGATCTGGAAGAGTTTTTTTCTACAGTAGGAAAGGTAATCTTAGCCTATTTAGGATGATCATATAAGTGGAAATTGCAAAAATTTCAATAATTGTCAGTATGACAAATAAAATAGAAGACATCTAAATACCAAACCTTGCCGAAGTCGGTTTGGCTCAGTGGTAGAGCATCAGTCTGCGGACTGAAAGGTCCCAGGTTCGATTCCGGTCAAGGGCATGTACCTTGGTTGCGGGCACATCCCCGGTAAGGGGATATGCAAGAGGCAGCTGGTCGATGTTTCTCTCTCATCGACGTTTCTACTCTCTATCTGTCAACCTTCCTCTCTGTAAAAAATCAATAAAATGTATTTTAAAAATGAAAATAAATAAACACCAAACCTTTTGATTTAGTAGAATTTAATTACAGAATCCATTTTTTGTAACATTTCTATTTTAACCTCACTTGCAAGTTAATAAATATTGGAGATGATAAAGGTTACCACATTTATCCAAAAAAAGGAGAAGTGAGCCCACAAATGTACATATCTCTAAAATTTTTAATAGTTTACAACTTTGCTTTATCATTAACATGCTTTTAAAAAAATTATTTATAATGACTTATACTGGATGATTCCACAAACAACCTTGTGTTTTCCTTTTAGGTTCGAGATGTGAGGATGATTTCTGATAGAAATTCAAGACGGTCCAAGGGAATTGCTTATGTGGAGTTTGTCGATGTTAGCTCAGTGCCTCTAGCAATAGGATTAACTGGCCAACGTGTTTTAGGAGTGCCAATCATAGTACAGGCATCACAGGTAATTTTTTTTTCTTGCTTTAGATTTTGATCATTGATAGTAATGGAAACCTGCTTTTGGCTTAGTGTTGTGCTGTAATGTTTTGTGCCTTAAGGTGTGAATACCTATTTCATAAAAGACTTGAGAACTTGATCTAGAATTTTATTGATTTGTAATAGTCTCTGTTGTTTATTAAGCAACCACGAACTTGTTTTTCCCTTGCAATTTGTCAAATTGAACAATTTTGACTTTTTATTTAGAGTACATTTATTAAAATTGGGGTTAGAATACAAGAAGCAACAGAAGAGAGCCTAGGCAGACCTGCTTTGACTCACTAAATCGTTAGAGAAAAGGGGGCCTTGGAGACAGATTTATGGCTTTAGACCAGGAGAACTGGCTGCTCATTGCTGCCCTGGTTGCAAGAGTTTAGGAGATGCATGCCTATAAGGTATGAAAAGGTGAGGAGAGAGAGACATCGTAAGCTCCCAGGAGAGCACGCTAATTTTGACATTTAAAAAACAACATTTTCTGTCCTGGCTGGGTAGCTCACTGGATAGTGTTAGCCAGTGAACCACAGAGAATTAAAAACAATTCTTGGTGAGAATAACAAACAAAAAAATTAACATTTTCAGGAGATTTTACTTCATGTCAAGAGTAGTTTGGCCCTGGCTGGCTAGCTCATTTGGTAAAAAGCATCATCCTGATAATGCCAAGGTTGCAGGTTTGATCAGGACACATAATAACAATCAACCAATGCCCTAGCCGTTTTCTCATTGGATAGAACTTTGGCCCATGGACTGAAGGATCTTGGGTGTTATTCCCGTCACATACCTTGTACCTTGGTTGCAGGTTCAATCCCTCCTACAAGGTGCCACATGCAGGAGGCAACCAATTGATGTTTCTCACATCAATGGTCCTCTTTCTGTTCCCACCCCTTCCACTCAAGGCAAAAACATTAAACAAACAAATGCATAAATAAATGGAACAATAAATTGTTTCTCTTTTACTCTTCCTTTATTCCCTCTCCCTTACTTTCTCTAAAATCAATAACTTTTTAAAAAGTAGTTTTTGAATAGCCATCATTTCTAGTATTTCTTTAAAATAAGGTATTTCAACCCTCACCAGTTTAGCTCAGTGGATAGAGCGTTGGCTTGTGGACTCAAGGGCCCCAGGTTTATTTCTGGCCAGGGGCATGTACCTTGGTTGCTGGCACATAGTAGGGATTTTGCTGGAGGCAGCTGATTGCTGCTTCGCTCCCATCGATGTTTATCCCTCTCCCTCACTGTAAAAAAATCAATAGAATGTATTTTAAAATAAAATAAGGTATTTCAAGCTAATTTAAAATATCTTGTAGCCCTAGCTGATTTGGCTGAATGGATAGAGACCTGTGGACTGAAGGGTTTTTGGTCCTGTTGCTATCAAGGGTACATGCCCAGGGTTTTTAGACTTGATCCCCAGGGTGGGATATGGAGGCAGCCAATCATTAATTCTCATCATTGATGTTTCTATCTTTTTCCTCTCCCTCTCTGAAATCAGTAAAAATATTAAAAAAGAGTATCTTCTAAAATAGTCCAAATTAATTTAAGAATATCTTTGCTGAAGCCGGTTTGGCTTAGTGGATAGAGTCTGTGGGCTGAAGGGTCCCAGGTTCGATTCCGGTTGGGGGCATGTACCCTGATTGCCGGCATATCCCTGGTGGTGGGTGTGCAGGAGGCAGCTGGTCGATGTTTCTTATGGATGCTTCTGGCTCTCCCTCTCCCTTCCTCTCTGTAAAAAAAATTAATGAAATATATTTTTTTCAAAGAAAAAAGAGCCGAAACCGTTTGGCTCAGTGGATAGAGCGTTGGCCTGTGGACTAAAGGGTCCCAGGTTTGACTCCCATCAAGGGCATGTACCTTGTGCAAGAAGCAGCTGATCGGTGATTCTCTCTCATCAATGTTTCTAACTCTCTATCCCTCTCTCTTTCTCTCTGTAAAAAAATTAATAAAATATATTTAAAAAGAAAGAAATAAGTTTTAAGATACTCTAAACTGTAATATAATTCCTCTATGCTGATTCTTTACAAAATTGGAAATAAATATTTTAGTGCATTTAGACAAGGAGAAATTGGGATGTATCAATATCTACACTAATAAAAGAGAAAAGATGCAAATCTGTGTACCTTTGTGACTACTACCATCCAATCCAGTGAGTGAATATGCAAATTAGCCCAACAAAGATAGCAGGTTAATTTGCACACGCTGAGTGGCAGTGAATGCTTGTGTGTCAGCCTACTCAGCTGCTCCGAGTCTGGGCAGCCTGGGAAAGCGGAAAGGCAGCTCTGGCAGCCAATCAAATCAAACCATTCTTGCAGGAATGTTTGTGCATCGGGCCTCTATAACTTATATAATTTGAAAGTATGCATTAGGATTCAACATCTAAATAGACATGTTGGTAGGTTTTCAAATTACTGATTTAATATGCCATAACCCCTAAATTATTTGGTTCTTTCATCAGACTCATATAAGGTATAAATAAGCTTTGTAACCAAATCAGATTTGAAATTCCAGTTTCATTGCTAACAAATCTAAGCAACCATAATCAAATTACTTGCTTTATGACCTGTAAAAGGTGATAATGTCCTAGTTAATATTTTGGGAGTTCTTAATGTTGGGTATTTATCACTTGATTGTATGTTAACAATAGAAAAGTAATTGGTCTGTTCTTTTCCTCTGATGGAGGAGTTCAAATATACTAATAGTTTATAGGTTCACCTGACAACCAGGGCTCAGAAGCATCAAATGAGGTTTGAATTTACTTAACTTTAACCTTTTTTTTCTCCTATACTACTCAAAGTACGCCATTTTTTAATGATAGTCACTTGGGAAAAAATGTCATGATTGAATGGTTTGATTTGATTTATAATGTACATTTTTACTTAATCTAATTTGTAGGCAGAAAAAAACAGAGCCGCAGCAATGGCAAACAATCTACAAAAGGGAAGTGCTGGACCTATGAGGCTTTATGTGGGCTCGTTACACTTCAACATAACTGAAGATATGCTGCGGGGGATCTTTGAGCCTTTTGGAAGGGTAAGTTCCATTTCTTGAACCAATAAATTTCAATAGGCTCTTGATCCAAGTGTAACTATAATAATTTTTGTATATCTACTTTGTTGTTCTATAAAAATTAAGATGGGGAGGGTGATTCTGCAAGGTTTTTGTGATAATTTCAATTAATCTTCAGGATTGTGACAATCCTTGATATCTTCCTTTTCCCTGTAAGAAGATACCGTGTGAAGTTAGATATTTTATTAATACGTTGTTATTCAAAACCCTTGGTTCTTTTGAATGCTTTTCTTCCTCGATATGTAGAGAAGTTTCTCTACTAAATTAAAGTATAATTATATTTTCTGTTTATGTCCAGTGGGTCCTCATTTTGGAAAAGACATTTTATTGCAGAATAAATATTAACAGTAGGTTGTTTTTTGGTTTACAAGATTCATTTTGTGCCCGTGAATAAAAATCTTGGTTCCTGCTAAACCTTACCAACTAGCAATGTTCATTGCTCTTGAATGTATATTTTTTTGCTTTCTTTCATTACCCCATTTTAACCCTTTGTTAAACTGTTTTAATTCAATAGTGGTAAACATAGGGGTGTTGAAATTGTGAATGCTTTGTGTATTGGAAATATACACAAGTCATAAAGGCATGGGTTGATCAATCATAAAATGAATTTCCTGAGTCCACTAGAACCTGAGTAAATTGATAGGCATGCTGTATCTTATTTTTTCATGCTTTGTTTGTTTTTGACAGCTTTATTTTGGGGTATGATAAAATTCACAAACCACACAATGCACCCATTTAAAGTAAACAATTGCTTTTTATTATATTTACAGAGTTGCATAATCATCACTAAGTCCAATGTTCTTTTTAAATAATTCCAACACTTTGGGCAATTTATTTTTTTATGGTTTTGGCATATGGAAAGGAAATAAAAATGTTTTCATTTCTAACATCTGACTGTATTTTACAAAGAACTTTTTATTTTTTGTTACTTGTTTTTGAGGCAAAAAATTAATATTCTTGAAATATTTTTTAGCTCCCTGGTACATGACTTCTTGCTTGGGAACTTGCTACCCTTACAGAAGATTTTAGGGGTGGGGTAATTCGGGTTGTGGTATGTTTTCATTTGTTATTTAGGGAAGAGAGAGAGATTATTCAGTCATGTTTCAAGGAAAAACATTTTACCCCCCTACTTTTTACTTAGTAATAATTATGTTTTTTATTTCTAGATTGAAAGTATCCAGCTCATGATGGATAGTGAAACAGGTCGATCCAAGGGATACGGATTTATTACGGTAAATAAATAACATTACAACTTAAATGTTTTTTGTTTAAGCAGTATAGTAAAACTTCATTAGTTATTGTTAGTGGAGAATTGGACCATGGTTTAAATTAGCACAATGTCATATAGCCATATTTTAGTAGCAGTATGTATCTACCAAATGTGAAATTTTAACCAGTTTACTATTATCCTTCCTGCATTTGGTCATTTTTCTTAGCCAGCTGTTCTTATAATTAAAGTCTTCAACTCCTTTAATTTTTGACTCTTGTTTGACACATTTTAAAAAAAATATATATATATTATTGATTTTTCACAGAGAGGGATAGAGAGCTAGTAACATCGATGAGAGAGAAGCATTGATCAGTTGCCTTGATCAGTTCAATGCCTTAATCAGAATTGAACCTGGGACCCTTCATTCCGCAGGCCGACGCTCTATCCACTGAGCCAAACTGGTTTCGGCTATTTGACACATTTTTGTCTGTTGAATGAGGTCTGTTGGGATTTCATTTTACTTAAAATCCTTTTTATATCTATGTATCTTATCACAATGATGAGGAATGAGTTGTGTTTCTGACTAACCATTACAGCCCAGTCCATGATTTTTTTTTTTAATATATTTTATTGATTTTTTTACAGAGAGGAAGGGAGAGAGATAGAGAGCTAGAAACGTCGATAGAGAAACATTGACCAGCCGCCTCTTGCACACCCCCTACTGGGGATGTGCCCGTAACCAACGTACATGCCCCTGACTGGAAATGAACCTGGGACCCCTCAGTCCACAGACTGACGCTCTACCACTGAGCCAAACCAGTTTCGGCCCAGTCCATGATTTTAAAAGAACCACATATCCTTGCCAAGGATTAAAAAAAAAAAACCCGCAACCAAGGCACATGCCCTTGACCGGAATCAGTCCCCAAGCCGACGCTCTATCCACTGAGCCAAACCGGTCTCGGCACTTACGCTTTTTTATGATTCATTGACTGCTTTTATATGTTCCCTGACTAGAAATTGAACCCAAAACCTTGACATATGAGAATGATGCTCTAACCAACCGAGTTACCTGGCCAGGGCCAGAAATTCTTTTAAATAATCTGATAAAAAATTGAACTACGGAATTCATGGGAATATGTTCCTTTCTGTCATTAAAGTAAAACCAGAGGGTATGAATTAGAATTTTTCTGCATTTGCAACCTGGAATTAAGAATATTCATGATTTAATTGGCAAGAAAATTTGACTCAGCACTTTGTATTAAAAATAATATCTGGTCCTACCAGACTCAATGGTTGGAGTGTCCACCCATGGACTAAAGGGTCCCAGATTGATTCTGGGGTGGGGGTGTCAGAGGCTCCAATTGATGTGTCATGGGAGAAATGGGCTCAGGGAACAAGTTACAGAGATAAAAGAAAGGCCCTTGGAGCTTAGGGAAAAGGGGGGTAAGGAGGAGGAAGGGGTGGGAAAGGTGCTGGCATGCTTTCAAGAGGGAGTCCCTAGTTTGTTTTATTTATTTATTTAAATGTATTGATTTTGTACAGAGAGGAAGGAAGAGAGGTAGAGAGTTAGAAACATTGATGAGAGAGAGTCATCGATCAGCTGCCTCTTGCACACCCCCTACTGGGGATATACCCGCAACCAAGGTACATGCCCTTGACTGGAATCGAACCCGGGACCTTTCAGTCCCCAAGTCGACTCTGTCCATTGAGCCAAACCGGTTTCGGTTATTTTATTTTTAAGCTTCCTTTCAGGAGCCTATCATTCTCTACTTTTTAAAATATTTTTATTGATTTCAGAGATGAATGGAGAGGGGTAGATAGAAACATTAATGATGGAAAAAGAATCGTTGATTGGCTGCCTCCAATCACACCCCCCACTGGGGGATCAAGCTTGCAACCCTGGCATGTGCCCTGACCAGTAATCAAATCATGACCTCCTGGGTCAGAGGCTGTTGCTCAACCATTTTGTCACATCAGCTGGACCCTATCTAGTCATTTTATGTGTGTGTTGTTTTTTCAAAATATATTTTTATTGATTTACAGAGAGGAAGGGAAAGAGAGAGCTAGAAACGTCAATGAGAAAGAAACCGACCAGCTGCCTCTTGCACACCCCCTACCGGGAATGTGTCTGCAACCAATGTACATGCCCTTGACTGGAATCGAACCTGGGACCTCTAATCTGCAGACCTACGTACTACCACTGAGCCAAACTGGTTTTGGCTATCTAAGTCATTTTAAATCATGTCAGTAATACGGTCTGATTATATTCATTACATTATAGGTTAAAATTTCTTCATCATCTGCCCAGTTGTAATTATTGAATATGGTCGTATGTAATTTCCTATAAAAATAAAAGACTAATTCGCAAATTGGCTGAATTGCAGTATGACAATTCGCTATGACGCATACTGACCACCAGGAGGCAGATGCTTAATGCAGGAGCTGCCTCCTGGTGGTCACTGCACTCCCACAGTGGGAGTGCTTCACAGCCAGAAGCCCAGAGCCAAGGCTGGCAAGAACAGTGGCAGTGGAGGGAACCTCTTCTGCCTCCAGGCAGTCAGACATCCCCCTAGGGCTCCCAGACTGCAAAAGGGTGCGGGTTGGGCTAAGGGACCCCCCTACCCAGTGCAACAATTTCATGTACCAGGACTCTAGTAAACTAATAAATAATCATTTTCTTATCTATGTAAATTAATCTACTGGACTATTTATTTATTTATCTATCTCTCTATTAGTTTTCTGATTCAGAATGTGCCAAGAAGGCTTTGGAACAACTTAATGGATTTGAGCTAGCAGGAAGGCCAATGAAAGTTGGTCACGTTACTGAACGAACTGATGCTTCCAGTGCTAGCTCCTTTTTGGACAGTGATGAACTGGAAAGGACTGGAATTGATTTGGGAACAACTGGTCGTCTTCAGTTAATGGCAAGACTTGCAGAGGGTAAATTTTTTTCCTTTGCCCCCACCCCCAATTTTTTTTATTTTTTATTATTTTTTTTAGTGTTAATGATTTAGTATGATTATGATAATGAGAAAGGTATCTAGACCAGTGGTCTGCAAACTGCAGCTTGCGAGCCACATGCGGCTCTTTGTCCCGTGGAGATTTTAGCAAAGGCCAGCTTAGGAGGACCCTAATTAAGTTAACAATCTATATAGTTTAATTATAAAAATTTGGCTCTCAAAAGAAATTTCAATCAGTTGTTGATATTTGGCTCTGTTGACTAATGAGTTTGCCGACTACTGATCGAGACTAATAAATGGAAAGTGATTTATTTTGGAATTGATGTTCTCCTTGTGCAGCACATATATTTAATTTCATAGATTAAGCTCCTCACCTTAAAGTTCTAATGGAATCTACTTTATGGTGGTGCATTTTTGAGTACCACAGTGCATGCTACAGGATTCCTTATGCTTTTTATAAAAATAACATTCTCAAACTTAATAAAGTTAGTTGTAGCTCTTACACTAATACGCTGCTTGTCATGTTTATTATTGGAGTGACTTTGGTAGTAAAGACTCAGAAGACTGGATTTTTCTGCTCTTAACATATTAATGACTTTAAGACCTATGCTTTTCCAGGTACAGGTTTGCAGATCCCACCAGCAGCACAGCAAGCTCTACAAATGAGTGGCTCCTTGGCATTTGGTGCTGTGGCAGGTAGGAATTGAATCTTTTCTAATTTGAAATCATTGTTTTTTCACCTAATTCGAAAATTTGCCAAATTTTTGTATTTAAAAGGACTTACTGAGAATTCAATTCATCAAGTACTTATAGCCAATAAATTCCCATAAGGAAATGGAGATAGAGGACAGAATTATTTACTAATCATAATAAACTATTAGGATATTATATTTAATCCTTCACACCAATTTTAGTTTAGATTGCTATAAGCCATAGAGACCAAAACGTTTATATTGCTTTACGGAACAAAATGTTTCTTTGTAATATTTAAGTTCAGAAAACTACCAGAGGGCTTTACTGAAGTGATTACAGTATCAAGAGCACTCAGTAAATTGCCCAGTAAAGTTCTTTCCTAAATAGTACACATTATTTTGAGATCTTAAGTTAGGGAATTAAGTTCTTGGAGAGGACAGAAAGGGAGGAGAGTATTGGCAGTTTATTATAATCCTCCTATATAATAAAAGGCTAATATGCAAAATGGCTCAGAAGGACCAGTCACTATGATGTGCACTGACCACCCACAGGGGGAGTGCTCTCAGTCAGAACTGGGCTCATAGCTGGTGAGCTTAGCAGAGGTGGCAGAACATCTGCCTCTGTCAGCGCTAAGGATGTCTGACTGCTGGCTTAGGCCTAAGCCGTCAGTCAAGACATCCCCTGAGGGTTCCCTGACTGCCAGAGGTGCAGGCCTGGCTGTGGGACACCTCCTTCGCCCCTTACCCCCCGCCCCCCCCCCCCCCCCATGAAACACATGGTCTTCCTCTCTTAGATGGCCTAACTTAATAACGTGGATTTGTCTTTATATACCTTGGTATTAGTGCATATCTACAAGTTAGGATAACATTTAATTTTGAAATGTTGACAACTTGTGGGGTTTTTTTTGTATATATCAAAACTATTTGTATTGTGAAGCCTGCATGACAGGAAATACTTTATCCCAAGAAAGTACGCAATTTATATTATGAATTGGTCCTTTTACCATGTCTACAAATTGAGGCTGCAATATATAAAAAATGATATATGTACACCTGAAACTAATATAACATTGGATGTCAATTGTTATTGAAAAATAAAAAATTATTTTAAAAAGTAAAGAAAATAATGAATGATGATGGTACTGAATCTATATAAAAAGATCATGTGGTTCCTTGTAAATGGCAAGTTCAATAGCTGATTAATAGAGTATAATTTTCTACTTTTATATTGCTCTTCATTAGTTAGAAGGGGCTTTTCTTTTATTTTCTTCTTTGTTGTTAATTCTCCCCCAAGGGTATTTTTTTCGCATTGATATTTAGAGAGAGTGGAAAGGAGGGAGGGAGCCAGAGAGAGAGCGCAAAGTGAGAAACACTGATGATTGATGTGAGAGAGAGACATCACTTGGTTGTCCCCACCTCAGCTGGGACGAGATAGGGTTGGAACCTGCAACTCAGGTACTTACCCTTGACCTGGAAAATGACAAGGGACACTCTAACCATTGAGTTCACTTGCCAGGCTAGTGTTTTGTGGGTTTTTTATTTTAATGAATATCTAAAAGTACCTTTAGAAAACTGTCTTTAGTTTTCTGTGCTTCCTGTCATATTGAGCAATTTATTTTGAAATCTGATAGTTATTCTGTAAAATTTCTGACAAAACCATGCCAATTGTAACCTTATAAGATTAAAAAAAGATTAAAAATCAGCCAAAACCGGTTTGGCTCAGTGGATAGAGCGTTGGTCTGCGGACCGAAAGGTCCTGGGTTCGATTCCGGTCAAGGGCACGTACCTGGGTTGCGGGCACATCCCCGGTGGGGGTGTGCAAGAGGCAGCTGGTCGATGTTTCTCATCGACATTTCTAAATATCCCTCTCAATTCCTCTCTTTGTAAAATCAATAAAATATATATTTTTAAAAAGATTAAAAATCAGAACAATTACTCCAATTATTTATTTTTACTTTTAAAATACATTTTTATTGATTTCAGAGAAGGGAGAGATAGAAATATCAATGATGAGAGAGAATCATTGATTTGCTTCCTCCTACATGCCATTATTGGGGGATCAAGCCCACAACCCAGGCATGTGACCTTCACCAGAATCAAACCTAGGACACTTCATTCCACAGGCTGACACTCTATCCACTGACTCAAACCAGCTAGAGCTATTTTGACATTTTAAAAAAGCATTAGTAATATAATTTTCAGTGAACAAGTAGTTATAGGAAATCATTTGCTATAAATAATTCCTAGTTTGTGATGTGAAAATTATTTAGTCTGAAGTCCATTCTGGTATTGCTTGCCATTCATTGTTCAGGTCATTCAGTAATTTAGGAAATGTTTGATTGTTCAACATATTTTAGATATTCTCACTAAAGGATAGTGACTTAAATTGTTTCCTGTCTTTGGGAATTTGATGCAGTGACATGATTGATATCTTAACAATCTTAGGTTTATTCTGGATGGTAAATCAAATACATTGATTTAATCTTTTTCAAAACAGTATCTTTACCTAATTGAAGATTTTACAGTCAGCTACATTCTTTCATCCCTTACTGGGAGTTGAGCCCACAACTTAGGCCTGGGAATCAATGGCCCATTTTTTTTTTTCTTTATTAAATTATATTATTGATATTTTACAGAGAGAAAGGGAGAGGGTGAGTTAGAAACATCAAGGAGAGAGAAACATCAATCCAGCTGCCTTCTGCACACTCGCACACTCTTACTGGGGATGTGCCCACAACCAAGGTACATGCCCTTGACCAGAATCGAACCTGGACTCTTCATTCAGTCTATAGGCTGACGCCCTATCCACTGAGCCACACCTGCCAGGGCAATGGTCCACCTTTTGGTGCATGGGATCATACTCAACCAACTGAGCCACTCTGGCCAGACTCCACATGCTTATATTCTGGAAATTTAATAGATTCTAAAATAGAGTTTTTACCTTTATGAAACCAATGCTTTATTTTCTAACTTATAACCAATGACATAAAAAATAATTTGAAGGTTTTTTATGAAAAGAAAACATGATTTTAAATATTCATATCTTATTGTCAGAGTACTTGGTCAGACTTAAAAATAAGTTCTTGGCAACCTCCAAATTAGTTTTGGTGGCTTCATATTCCTCTGGCCATAAACTTGGGATCAGAAAGTCATGTGAAGTATTTATTTTTGAAATTTTTATAGGGATTTATTAACTCTTAAAATAGTATGGATTTCTGATATCTATACATTTTTTCCCATTTTAGGAAAAATAAAAAGACAAATTGTGTTTTAATTTAAAGTTTATTGACAATGTTCCGTTCCTATGGTCATATCTTCAAGTTCCTTCAGTATACACCAGTTATATTTCTTCAACTCCTTGAGATGCCAATTTTGAGCACCTAGGACCCAGGTATACTAATATCCCAATATAACTTGGGCTGCGGATCCTGTTAGTTTTTGCCCAAGTTTTTTGATCATTTTCATGTACTCAGCAAGGAACCCGAATGGCAAAGTGTTGCAGTTGAATTTCACGTTAATGAAAATTGGGTATTAAAGCTAAACAATTTCTATATTGTATATTTCTGAAACTTTTGAACTTTTTTAAAGATAGCTTTTCAACACTGGCATTTTCTTGACTATTCAGATCTGCTGCTGTTTTCACTTCTAGCAGCTTTCTCTTTGCTTTTAGTGTAGAAGTATTAACAATTATATATGGGAAATATATTGATAAAAATTCCTGTTTATTTTTAATGCTGACTAGATGCTTAGATTTTCCTGTATTACATAAATTATGATAAACCCAATTAGATTTCATTCCTGCCTCAATTTCCAGATGAGGTTATAAAACCAGATTTTTAAAAAAATTCATCTTCTCTGCTGGACTAGACTTTTTAATACTAAAAGCACTTCTAAAAAGTATAAAGTTAGAATGGTGTATTTTCCACTGGTGTTGCTCTTACTACTTCAGTTGGTACATTAGTGAAAGTGTTTACAGCTGTTAGATACTATTGCAGGGATCACTATTTTTATAAAAGTTTAAAAGCTTATTCCCACTGTTAGAACAATAAATAGTTGACTATCCCAAGTACTTGGAATTGAATTCTCAAGATCAGGGTTTTCATGTATTTTCTGACCGGTGTGCTTCCCTTTCCCCATTTCCCATTATTCCCATTTGCAGACTAGTGTAGTGGAATGTAATTTAGATGTAGAAGAATACTTAAATAGGAATAAGAAAAGAGAGGCCTAAGTTTCCTAGGACAGGATGAAAGAAGGCCCCCAAAGCCTTGCCAATGAGGAATGGGGAAGGGGGTTTGGCTGCCAGGTTTTACTCTAAGTTCATCTTCACAAACCCTGCTACAGTAGTCCTCTTTTATTAATGCTCTCCTGACATTTACCCTGTTAGTTGAGGCTCTTCATTGTTCCTGCACTGAGCTGTAGAATTCTCTTTTGTTATAGATTTGCAAACAAGACTTTCTCAACAGACTGAAGGTGAGTTGAGCTTTTCATCTGTTTTTAAAATAAATGTAAATATAGCAAGACATAATTCTTTATTATATTCATCATTGTCTTTTATTTTTGGTCCAGTTTTTATCAGAATGACAGCCATATATTTATATTACATTACACACACAGTAAGCTATTTTGCTAATACATGAATGTTTTGGAAGGCCCAAATCCAAACTATTATAATTGCATGGATAAAAAATGAAAATGTTTGTGGTTTTTTAGCTTTAGCTTTCTTAGAAGTATTTTAATAAGCCTTTTAAGCTTATTTTTGTGTAGTGATTGTTAGTTTTACATATAAGTCAGAAAGTGATATTTGTTACTTAGACAAATCTTTCAGAACATAGTTTGTCAACTTAATATGAGATTAGGAAAAACTGGCTCTAACTCCAGTGATTTGTATATGCAGTACCAAACAATGAGAATATTATCCAGAACAAAATTGCATGCACATTTCAGAGATTGAAATAATTTATAAAGTGGGCTATTTTTTCTTGTTTTTAATGTCCATGTTAATATCTGCCATTTAATAGAGCCATTTGATATTGAGCAAATTCAGTATCCATCTTTTTTAGGCTATACTTAAAGTTGTTCAGGGAAATTATTCAATATGAGAAATACCTACCATGTTCCTTGATGGGAATTAAATGTATAGTTTTTCCAGTAAATGAGGCAGCTATATTCAATCCTTTTATTTCTAGCAGATTTTTAAAAGGTGCACTACCGTGTTACCCCGAAAATAAGACATCCTCCAAAAATAAAACCTAGCGCATGGAAAGATAAGACATCCCCTGAAAATAAGACCTAGCGCAACTTTGGGAGAAAAAATTAATATAAGACAGTTTAATATAAGACACTGTTAATATAAGACACTTTTATTTTCGGGAAAGCAGGGTAGTAGATTTTCCTATTAACTATATTTTTCTGCTGCATTTATTGTGTTCTACATTCTTCTAGGTTGAGCCAGAATATTTCTATCATACATTTTCTAAATATTTTTCAGTATTCCTAGTATATTGTCATAATTAATTGGAAGAAGTGGAAAAATTAAGTTCTCAATTATTTTGTAATGACCTAATTTTTCTTCCCAGGCATACTTTCATTTATTTATGATGAGGTTACATAGGCTTTTTGTTTTTAAGATATATGTTCACCTATCTTTTTTTGTTTGCTTTTCAAATATTTTTATTGATTTCAGAGAGAAAGGGGGAGAGTTAGAAACATCAATGACGAGAGAAAGGATATTGATTGGCCAACTCCTGCACGACCCTTAGTGGGATCAAGCTACAGTCCAGCCATGTTCCTGACTGGGAGTCACCAGTGACCTCCTAGTTCATGGGTTGATACTTAACCTGTTAACCGGGGGGTTCCCTTTTTAATTACGCAACCTGTAACAGGCGCGTACTTTTTCACTAGGACATGTCAGTACGCCTCGCCCGGAGGACGTAATTTCATATTATTTTTTATTTATACTTAAATGAAATATATATATTTTCGTTTATTTATATATAAAGCCCAAAGGAAAATACAAAATTACAATAAAATAGAAAAGAATACCAACAAAAAAATGGAAACATCGAATTAAAAAATTCTAACTTTTACAAATAATTATAATGATTACAAAAAATATATACCGTCCCTCTCAGGGTGCAACATATATTTCAAGGATGTATTCATACGTCCTACCCGTTCCCAATATTGTTTATGTTTGATGTATTTATAGGTCCCGCTTGCTTAACAGGTTAATAATTGAGTGACACCAGTCAGGCTGGCTTTATTTTAACTGTAATATAAACATGGTTGCATCTTTAACTTTCCCCAATAGAGTTTGACATCTGATAAGTCACTTTAATATGTAGCCTAATTCTATCAGAAAAAAAAATTATTTTTATGATGTATTTCATGTGCAACCATAATTTTTATTCAATGGAACATTTCTGATACTTCTTCAGGTGAATGTTTAATTATAATTTCTAATGCACTGCTTTATCCTTAGCTTTATTGTTATGTATTGGAATGAAATTTGGTCAAATGTTTTGATTACGGTGAGTTATAACAGCTACTGTTAATGTTGTATAAATCATATGTGGACAATGAAGCGGCTGTCTTGTCCAGTGCTCTCACTTCAAACTTAAAACCAAAAGTTTTAAATGCTGAGCTTAAATATCAGTGTTCAATATTTTTTTGCTTTTAATATAGTGAATATTTTAGTCTTATTTTTAGTGCTAGTCTATTATTTCTTATGCTAAAGCAGACAATCATTTTTAAAAGATTAATCTGGTTTGTAATATAATTTATAATTCTAGGATATTAAATCTTAGATGCTTAGGTAATTTTATGCATCTTATTTTTAAGACTTATTCCTTTTATAATGTTTGTGTTTTTTAGAAATATATAACTATGTATTCACGGGTAGACTCCTAAGAAATACAATAGGGTCATAACGTTTATTTGGCATTTTACTTATTTATTCATGTTAGAAGTTCAGGTGGTGGAGAGAAACATCCATTTGTTGTTCCACTTATTTATGCATTCCTTGGCTGCTGCTTTGCCCAGAACGGTGATCAAACCCACAACCTTGGCATATTGAGACAAAGCTACCATCCAAGGCCTTATTTTGAAATTTTAAAATCCTATTTCTTAGTGGGGTTTTTTTGGGGGGGCGGGGGCGTTCAGAGAGAGGAAGGGAGAAGGATAGAGGTAGAAACATTGATGAGAGAAATATCTTCAATCAGTTGCCCACTAATGGGAATTGAGCCCCCAACCCAGGCATGTGCCCCTGTTGGTAATCAAACCAGTGACCCTCTTGGTCCTAGGTTGATGCTAAATTTCTGATTGACCCTGGCTGGGCCAAAATACACAGGTATAAACTCAAAACAATTTTACAAAGTCAATGTTCTGTTTAATCCTTTGTCTTTCTGGATTGATTTGTTTTTGGAATAATTCTAAGTTTGATTACACATAAAGTTGAATTTCCCTTGTGAAAAATAAAACTACCAACTTTCTCAAGATTGGCCACTTCAAATGTTGATGCAGTTTTCTGGCAACTAAAATGAGTTCTGTTATACACTTTGATAGTCTTATTAAATAAGTTAAATTAGTTAAGTGGCTGGCTTGACATTATACCCTAGTTTCATACTTTGGGTTTATGGGTTTTTTCTTTTGTTTTATTTCAATGTATTTTCCATGAAACTAATTCCCCCTCCCCCCCTTTTTTTTAGCTTCAGCTTTAGCTGCAGCTGCCTCTGTTCAACCTCTTGCAACACAGTGTTTTCAATTATCTAACATGTTTAACCCTCAAACGTAAGTAATGTTCAAGTTCAAACACTTAGGATGTTTCCATATATTTCATAGTTCAAATAGTGCAATACTTTTTATCCTTGTAGCACAATTATTATGCACATTGTTGGTTATTTTCTTTGGATCTGTTTGTAAGACTGGAATTGAAAGCTATCCAGATTTTATATTGCTAAAGTTTGTGTCAGTGTTTATTTTGGTTATCAGCTTATAGCAATTATGGGCTTTGAGATTTTAAGTTTATTTCAGTCTAATAGAAAAGTTTTTTTTTTTTAATTTGCTTTTGATTAGTGTAGGCTTTTAATTAGAAATATTTTCTACTTCCTATCCAGTGATTAGAATGCCATTTATTGAATCCACATTTTCTTGTTTTTTGTATTTTTGGGGGGGAGGGGGGTTTCAGTAAATTTTTATTTTTTTAAATATATTTTTATTGATTTTTTTACAGAGAAGAAGGGAAAGGGAGAGAGAGTTAAGAAACATTATCAGCTGCCTCCTGCATACCCCTTACTGGGGATGTGCCCTCAACCAAGGTCCATGCCCTTGACCAGAATCAAACCCAGGACCCTTGAGTCCATAGGCCGATGCTCTATCCCCTGAACCAAACCAGTTAGGTCTTGTTCTATAAATTTTTATTTTAATTTATTTTTTATTATTTTTTTTAAGAAATTCATTTAAAAAATTGATTTATATAACATGGTTTATATACTTGTTTTCTAGGTCTATGATTTTATTTTTATTTTTTTATTATTTACTTACTTTAAAAAATTAATTATTCTGTAAATTTTTTAATCAGTCACTTTTTTAGGAAATAAGTTTCATACTTATAAATTTGAGTAATTTATAGCATGCTGTTATATTAATATTAGTTGAGTTTACCATAGAAAGAGCCTAAAAATTTATAACCTTCTTTAGAAATGTTTTATATCTTTTTTATTTCTTCCAGAGCCCTATATCTGATTTTTTAAATTAAAAGAATGCATATTTTAAAATGTTTATACAGTGTCTAATAAAGCTTAATACTTTCTTACAGAGAAGAAGAAGCTGGATGGGATACAGAGATTAAGGATGATGTGATTGAAGAATGTAATAAACATGGAGGAGTTATTCATATTTATGTCGACAAAAATTCAGCCCAGGTATTTATTTGCTCTTTTTATTTTAATACTAGAGGCTTGGTGCACAAAAATTCGTGCATGAGGGGGTGTCCCTCAGCCCAGCCTGCACCCTCTCCATTCTGGGACCCTTTGAGGGATGTACGACTGCCCTTTTAGGCCCAGTTTTATTGGACCAAGCTGGCCTAACTGCTCCCTTGCCATCCTGATTGCCCCTAATTGGCTTCCCTTGCACGCCTGGTCTCTCCCTGCTGGCCATCTTGTGTCCATATGGGGGCAGCAATCTTGTGTGATGGAGTGTTGGTCAATTTGCATATTACTCTTATTAGGTAGGATGTTTTTTATTGATTTCAGAGAGTAAGGGAGAGAGATATAGAAACCTCATTGATGAGAAAATCACAGATTCCACTGCCTCCTGCATGCCCCTACTGGGGATCGAGCTTACAACCCAGGCATGTGCCCTTTACCAGAATAAACCTGGGACTCTTCAGTCTGCAGGCTGATGCTGTATCCACTGAGCCAAACCAGCTAGGGGGCTATTTGCTCTATTTTTAAAATATATATATTTTATTGATTTTTTTTACAGAGAGTAAGGGAGAGAGATAGTGAGCTAGAAACATCGATGAGAGAGAAACATCGACCAGCTGCCTCTTGCACACCCCCTACAGGGGATGTGCCCGCAACCAACGTACATGCCCTTGACCGGAATTGAACCTGGGACCCCTCAGTCCGCAGACCAACGCTCTACCGCTGAGCCAAACCTGTTTCGGCTATTTGCTCTTTCTAATAAGCAAAAATGTTGCTCTCTTTGCCTTAAACTTTACAGATGCTTGGGTCATGTTATGCTTAAACAATTACATAGTTATAGAACACTGTAGGCTGCTTTAATAGACCTGTTCAAACGCACACTGTTTGGGGTAATACTTTTTTTGGTTTTATTTTAGGGCAATGTGTATGTGAAGTGCCCATCAATTGCTGCAGCCATTGCTGCTGTAAATGCATTGCATGGCAGATGGTTTGCTGGTGAGTTTAATCTTTCTTTTTTGATTATTATGGCTCTAATGAATCTAAGTGAAGATATTAAACTACCAATATCTGTTTTTTTCAACAGGTAAAATGATAACAGCAGCATATGTACCTCTTCCAACTTATCATAACCTCTTTCCTGATTCTATGACAGCAACACAACTACTGGTCCCAAGTAGACGATGAAGGAAGATATATAGTCTCTTATGTACATAGCTCTTTTTCTTTTGAGATTTCATCTTGAGTTATCTTTTATTTAGATAAAAATAAAGAGGCAAGGGTCTACTGTCATTTGTATACAATTCCTGTTACCGTGAAAAAATAAAAATGTTAACAGGAATGCAGTGTGCTCGTTCTCCCTATATAGCAAATCCCACTGTATACAAAACTGTTCTCTTGTTCTGCCTTTTAAATGTACATGTAGAAAATTACATTAAGGATCTATAGAAATAGCTCTAGGGGAACAAATGTGCTTAATGTATAAAGGCAGACAACAGGGATATAATGTTTTTAATGTTTCATTTCAGAAGCCTAACTTTTTACACAACAGTTACATTTCACATTTTCACTAATGTTGATATTGGCTAATGGTTTAGCAGACAGGTTTCTGAAATACACATTTGGTGTATAGAAATTCAAGACAGCTAAAGGGCTGTTTGATTAACATCTCATCTTGCACTCTGATCAATTGGCAAGAAAAGATTTCAAAATTACATTTCTGAATAGTATCTTTTCAATTAATGTATCTGTAAAAGTTTCTCTGTAAATATGTGTTTTAGTGTGTCTAAGATTCCAAACAAAATGCTCCCTGCATTTCCTCAAGATGTTTAGTGAGTCTGGTAAGCAAAAGGCTGAGCAAGAAATGGGAAATGCAGAAATAGGTTTTGTCTGGTTGCATATAATCTTTGCTCTTTAAGCTCTGTGAGCTCTGAAATATATTTTTGGGTTACTTCAGTGTGTTTGACAAGACAGCTTGATATTTCTATCAAACAAATGACTTTCATATTGCAACAATCTTTGTAAGAACCACTCAAATAAAATTCTCTTAAAAAGGCCACAAGAAATCTTGATTTTTGAAATGTTTTAAAGTCATAGAAACATGCAAATAGAATATTAGTTTCTTTGACTTTTCATAATTATTAGGTATTTGCCTCTGGAACAATTATTAGCAGTCTGGAAAAATTCTTGCCCTTGAGTTGTCTCTGTACATTCCTGTATATTATCTATATTATCTCTTTGCATTGTACTTAGGGTAATTATTAAAACTGATTTACACAAAAAGGAAACAAAACAAATTCAGGCTTTAAACTTGGGTATTGTTAAGTTTCTTGTGTTGTCTGGACATCCTTGTAAAAATATGCTTTACTATTTAAAGTAAATACTGAACAAAAAGTTTAAAGTGATTTCTCAAACTGAATCAAGGCATTAACTTCATTATGGAATTTTGAGCTTTAACTTGGGTAGTGAGCCATCACCATTTATACTCTGAACTCTTGTTTCAAGTTATGTATAGGTTGCACTTTGGATAGGTATTGATCCCAATGGAATGACTATCATCTAATACTGATTTTCTTACCTCACTTCTGTTTCTGCTGCATTGATAGCGTTGAGGCACAGGTTTTACACTATTTACTTTGTATGGAGCCATCACAATTTTCTACCAACCCTTTTGGATGAGTTAGTCCAAAATTGCTTAAATTATTCAACCATAACTTTTAAAATTAAAGTTAACTTGATTTTGTAAACACTGGGCAACCGTTTTTCTTGGGTCTAATTTATGTTTCCTACCCCTCCCCCCCTCCCCCTTAAAAAAAAAAGTCATTTTTAAATTCTTGAATCAAGTCTTGTTCTGTCAGGTTTGTTCATTCCAACAAAGATGTCCATGGTTTAATAAAGGCAGCGAAATTTAGCTCTACCACAGGATGAAGTTTGGGTTGTAAATGATATTCAAAGCAAATGTCTTAAATAGTGTGATACATAGAAAGGAATGCCAATTGCTGTTTTGAGTGAAATCCTCTGGGTAGACGTCTCACCTACTCTGGAAAATCTGTAACTACTATTTGTATTCTGGAAGTAACCCTGATTTTGGCCGAATCTGAGTATTATGACCACAAAATATTTTAGGTCTAGTTTCTTGTAAATATTCCCACTTACTTAGAACCTACTTATCAAGGCAATTACAGCTGAACCGCGGTCCAACATAATTCGTTCTGAAAGACTTAGAAAATCAAAGCATTTCCCCCCATTAGAAATAAACAATTTGTTCCAGACTCAAATGATCAGTTTTAAACAAACTTTTTCATTTAAAAAAATATATATTATTGATTTTTTTATAGAGAGGAGAGAGGGATAGAGAGCTATTATAGAAACGTCGAGAGAGAAACATCGACCAGCTGCCTCTTGCACACCCCCACTGGACAAGCCCACAACCAATGTACATGCCCTTGATTGGAATCGAACCTGGGACCTTTCAGTTTGCAAACTGACACTACCACTGAGCCAAACCGGTTTCAGCCAGTTTTACACTTTTAACAAAATCTTTTTATTGGTTTTTAGAGTAGGATGAGAGAGAAGGGAAACATCAATTGACTGCCTTACATTGGACTGGTAATCAAACACAACCTGAGTATATGCCCTGACAAATAGAACCTGCATAATCCATCTGAGCTACACTGGCCAGGGCATAATTTTTCTTATATATAGTACATTCCTATACTGTACTGTTTAGACACTTTTAAAAGACATGAAATTTAAGTTTACCAAAAGAAAAATGTACAGTAAAAATGAAAATTTAATGAGAAGGAAAATACAGCACAATTCCCTGAGATGTTAACAGTAGTAAACAGACATACTCCTGTATTTTTTCCTTTTTCACCTCAGCTAATGACTGAATCATACAGATGGGTATCAGCATGAAAGGGTTGTATCGAGAAGCAAACTGTTCAAATGAGATGGGAGATGTTTGAGAACTGAGGTCTGACCAATATAATTTTGTGGGGGGATGAGGAATAGTCTATACAATTCACATCCTCATTGATGACAGGTAAGATAATCATCTGGGATTGACTTTAGTTGAAAAGCTATAAAAGTGCCTGATAGTTTGATTTTGTGTCACCATGGATAACTGGTTCTTTTTCTCATCAAGCCAACAGGTATATCTGGACAACTTTTGAATGAATGAAGTATTGAAAATAAAACACCCTTGCCTGGATGGTGTTGCTAAACGTACTAAAAAAGAAAACACTTTTGAATTGTGACCTTGAGGAAATGAATTTTTTAAAAAATATATTTTATTCATTTTTTACAGAGAGGAAGGGAGAGAGCTAGAAATGTCGATGAGAAACATCACCAGCTGCCTCTTGCACATCCCCCACCGGGGATGTGCTCACAACCAACGTACATGCCCCTGACCGGAATCGAACCTGGGACCTTTCAGTCCGCAGACTGATGCTCTACCACTGAGCCAAACCGGTTTTGGCAAGGAAATGAAATTTTTACCTTTAAAACACTAATGATGGGAGACATGCAATGCTTCCAACAATAAAGATTTATAAAAAATTAAAACTGATAAATCAACAAAAGGTTGAGTAATAAAGGTTTACTAGAATTTATGAAAGTTTCCAGCCATGGAAAAATTTTCTGGTTTGTAAACACTCAGGTCTAGTGAAAAAGAAACTTCAGCCCACCTCTGAAAATCTCTAAACAAGCTGTATAATAATCTGCAGAAGAAAAAAAATGCCTCCAAACACAGACTACTTAAAGTGTTTTTATTATAGTACATGGGCTGGGGCTGATGGGATAGGGTAGATGTGAGGAACCACTGCCCTGATCAGCATCGGATGCCCATTCCGATAGCCATGAATGTGCCAAAGGTGCCGCCACTCTGCATCATGGTTTTCCCGATGCCGCCCATCAGCTCCCGACCCCGCATTCCAATCCTGAGAGGAGGAAACCAAGATGGGGCCAATTGGGAACACAAATATTATATATGGAGAAATATGAACTGTGCTTCTAAGGATGAATCATACACTCCAGAAGTCCAATAGGACATTAGCCCCTCCCACCCAGGATCAGTAATGACTAGTTGAAAAGGATCTATCAGAGACTGCCTTTAGTTTCTGAGAGGCTGCAAATACAGTGTCAAGTACATGGAAACCATTTTTTTTTCTGCTTGGTTTTACCTTTCGAGCATGTACATATGATCCAATAACAACGGCTGTGTTTTAGATGGTTTCCTAGTGTTAAAAGTGATTGTGGAGTCATTTTACAGACTGTGTCAAGTATAAAAGAGTTGTGATAACAGCATCTAGTACAGTGATTGACACGAAGTGCAAAATAAGTAGTAATTTCAGTCTGAAAAATTGAGTCATATGTGAAAGTGACACTGTGTAGAATCTGCTGCATTTCTACATCCTGTTGCCTGTAGTAAAACTGCTCAAGTTTCATGATGTGCAGTCGGGAATAACGGCAACGACAGTAATAACCATTTCCTGAGGACTTAATACATGCTCTGTGCTAAGTGTTCTCTGCCTTGATCCTTACAACTCTAGGAGGTAGATGTTACTAACTTGGTTCTACACCTGAGGAAACCCAGGCTCAACTTGCCTAAGGCTACAGAAGTAGCGAGCGCTGGGGCGGAGGGATTCCGACCCGTCCTAACTGAAGGTGGTTAGGCAACTGGTCTCGATCCGAGGTCATCGAGACTGGAACGCGCTAGGCTCCATTCGGCAGCAGGCCAAGCGGAGAGGGCGGGGAGGTCCGCGAGTCCCACCCCAGGTCACCACCGCGCCCTCACCTGAGACAGGAAAAGGTGCCGAACAGTGCCCCGGCCGCCATGCCCACGGCGCAGCCCATCACAAAGCCCATCTTCACCCGGTCGAAGCAGCTTGGCTGGGACTGTCCATAGGGACCCACGGTCACCGGCATCTGCGAGGTTCGAGGGTCAGGGAAATGCAGGCCTGACCGCCAGCCCTAGAGTCGGGCGGAGTCAGAGGAAAAGGGGTGGGGAGCGGACCTAAGGGTTCGAGGAAGCTCGGGAAGGAAAGTCAGCGTGTAACCCGAATCCATCACCCTCTGAGCGTTCCGACCCTCGAGCCCCCTCCTCACCTCGCTCGCGGCCTCGGTCTTGCAGTTCCACGTCTCACGGAACGCAAGGCGGAGCGCGCTGGTGGCCCGAGGAATCGCTTCCGGGGCGCAGAGCAGTACTTCCGGGAGTCCGTAGCTAAGTGCTGCAGCCGCTCGGGACGAGGGGCTGTGCCTCCGGGACCATGTTGCTGCGGACAGCTTGGAGGCGGGTGGCTGCGGCCCTGCCGGCGGCTCCGGGGCCGCGGCCCGAGGCGCCCACCCGGGGTCTGCGCCTGCGCGGTACGCTCTGGGTCCCGCTCGCTGCCACCCTCCCGGGAGGCGCGCCTTCTTTCTCCTCCGCGCGGCGACGCAGCTCAATATTCCGTAGCCTCCCGCTTCCGCCCCTACCCGGACCCTCTGACCCTTTCCCTCGGCTTCATCCCTCCAGTTTTCTCTAGCTGGCCTTCTTAGCGACTTCGCCGCGACCCACTCAGATCTTATCCCACTGGCCTTCCCAGCCTGAGAGGCTCGGCCTTAATTCTTCTAACCAACTTTAGAGATGCTAGCCGTCCTTCAAAGGCCATCTTCCCTACTATGTCTCCACATCCCTTCTAAATGACTTTGCCATTTCAGAGCCTTCCCAACTCCCAACGATGCAACTTTAATATTGTCCCTAACATCCCTCTCCAAGAGCCCTGCCTCTGTCCATTATCTCCGTTTACAGTTTGCTCAAATCCTGATGTTTTGTGTTTTTTTTCGTTTTTCATTAAGATTCAACCCAGTATTCCTTAAACTTTACCTTCTGATGTCTTGGATACGCTGTGTCCATAGTCACTTGGCCACTCTGTTCCATATTTTTGGCAGTTGCAGACCATGCTCCCCAGTCAGCTGTTCCCTCCGATACAGCCATTGCTCCAGAGATGGAGTCAGTGCTGCGACCTCTGTACATGGATGTGCAAGCTACAACTCCTCTGGTAAGAATGGAGAGGCAGCTTTTCCCATGCTGTTTATAGGGATTATATTGTGGAAGTGACAATGTACAGAAGTGGTTGGATTCTTGTAGAACTAAGAGCCACTGAAGAGTGTGTGCAGGAAGAAGCAGTGAGCTAGGAGTTAGGAGGCTTAACTTGTCCACTTGAAATGATTCAACTACTTACAAGCTATTGATGTTGGTCAAATCACTTCAGTGCGGCACTATAGTAGTAATTAAAATCATGGGCTCTGGAAGTAGCAGCATGGCTATTTAGTAAGTATGAGTGTGGGCAAGTAGTAAATGGATTAAATTAAAAAGACATAACACAGCCCTTAACAGCGTGGCACATGGTGAGCACTTGAATATTAGTACAAGATTTCACCAATATGTGGACTCTGTCATAACCTGGCCCCTTGAAGATCACATCTCCTGGCAGGAATGTAAACATCTGCAGAAATGGCTGTTAGGAAATGACAGTGTTTATAGATTACCCAGGGAGATGGGAGATGGCCTGATTTAAGATGGATTGGGAGTGGGAGTGTATTAAGTTGATATTTGGTTAGTACCTGAGGGACTGGAGGAATGTTTGAGGCCTAATCTGGGCATTGTCTGAAGGGTCGGGAGTTTGCTGAGGTAGGTCTGAGGAGATGAAGTGGGGCCTAAGCTAACTATGGGGCTCACAAAGACTGATCTGTTCCTTTGTGCTCAGGACCCTCGGGTACTTGATGCCATGCTCCCTTACCTAGTCAACTACTATGGGAACCCACACTCCCGGACACATGCTTACGGCTGGGAGAGTGAGGCAGCCATGGAACGTGCTCGCCAGGTTAGCACAGAGGAATCGGGGGTGCTGATGGCATGGATTTAGTGGCCTGTGGGCGGCATTTCCTTGGTAGGTATGGATGGAGGTACAAATGGTTTGGGACTCTTTAAGAGATTCAGAGAGCAGGCCTTGGAGTCCTCTAAAGGCATTTGATTAGTTCCCACATTCCCTAACGAAATGACCTTTGGCAAGTTATTTAATTTCTCTAAGCCTAAGTTTCCTCACATTGCAAATGAGATTGTAACCCTACTCCCTAGGGTTATTCGGGGAATTAAATGAGACAATGCTAGTGATGTGTTTATTAATCTAATGCATATATATATATATATATATATATATATATATATATGAGTCCAATAGTGCTTTTTCTTTTAATACAAATTTAAAAAATTGATATTAGAGGAAAGGAAAGAAAGAGAAGACGATTGATTTCATCCCACATATGCCCCCACTGGGGATCAAACCCATCTTTTTATATACAGGACAATGCTCCTATCAACTGAGCCACACTTGCCAGGGCTGAAATAGTGTTTGTTTGTTTGTTTGTTTGTTTGTTTAATGTCTTTATTGATTTTAGAGAGAGGAAGGAAGAGGGAAAGAAAGATAGAAACATCATTGACAGAAAAACATGGATTGGCTGCTTCTTGCATGTCCTTTACTGGGGATCGAGCCCACAACCAGGGCATGTGCCCTGACCTGGAATCAAACTGTGACCTCCTGGTTTATAGGTTGACCCCTGAGCTACACCAGCCAGGCACTAGTACTTTCTTTTTTTTGGTTAATCCTCACTTGAGTATATTTTTCCATTGATTTTTAGGGAGAGTGGAAGAAAGAAGGAAAGACAGAGCGAAACATCAGTGTGAGAGAAACACATCGATTGGTTGCCTCCTGCATGTGCCCCAACCAGGGACCCGGGTCTGGGAGGAACCTGCAATCAAAGTACATGACCTTGACCGGAATCGAACCCGGGGTCCTTTGGTCTGTAGGCCAGTGCTCTGTCCACCAAGCCAACCCGGCCAGGGTGAACTAGTACTTTCTTAAAAACAGCATTATTGTCCTGGCAGGTGTGGCTGTTTGTTGAGCATCATCTCATGCACCAAAAGATCACCAGTTCAATTTCTGGTCAGGGTACCTACTCAGGTTTTGGGTTTGATCCCCAGTCTGTCTCTGTCTCTCTCTCTCTCTCTCTCTCTCTCTCTCTCTCTCTTTAAAATCAATAAAATCAGCCCTGGCTGATTTGGCTCAGTGGATGGAGTGTCGACCTTCAAACTGAAGGGTCTCAGGTTTGATTCTAGTCAAGGGCACATGCCCGGATTGCAGGCTTGATCCCCATTGGGGAGCATGCAGGAGGCAGCCAATCAATGATTATTTCTCATTATTGATGTTTCTATCTCCCTTCCTCTCTGAAATCAAAATAAAAAAATATTTTTAGATAAGAAATAAAATCATATTAAAAATATATTATTATTATTATTATTTTGTTTTGGGCTGGAAAAGAGTCTGGGATCTGGGGTGTAAGTGAATTTATCCTTGTCTGACCCTAGTAGGTACAGAGCTTGTTCCTGGGCAGTTGATAGGACATAGTGGAGGTCTAAAGCTCTGTCCTAGCTGTGTCCTGGGGTCAAGTACTTTCCTGAGGAACTGATGGAACTCATCTCTGTTTCTTGACTTGCAGCAAGTAGCATCTCTCATTGGGGCTGATCCTCGTGAAATCATTTTCACTAGCGGCGCTACTGAGTCCAATAACATAGCAATTAAGGTAAGAGGGCATATTGGGGCTTTCTTGACTTGGGATATGGTATCTTTCTATCATCTGGGCTCATACATATATTTCCCAGCCACCCACTCCCGCCCTATTGTGAAGAAAAGACACATATACTCTTTCTAATTTATTGTTTCCTTCAATTCTTTGCCATCTAAAAATCTTTGCTCCTATTGAACTGAGCTCCATAAGGTAGTTGGATAGGAAAGGAGGTAGCTCTTGGATCACTTGATTTTTTGGATAGCAGCTACTTCACAGAGTGGATAATGGTGACTTAACACTTCCCCTGTCCTTCTGATCTAGTCACAGTGAAGTCCAGAATGCACTTATAATTGGGCATGTTTCTCAGTTTCATTCTTGTATGTATGATTTCACAGCTGCCTTCCTCTCAGCCTTTCTTTTCTTTCTGATCAGATCTATTTGCAACAAGTACCTCCCATTTTTTTAGATGTCCTCATTTTTTAAAGTCCTGATTACTCTGGTACCCTCTGCAGGCATTCATTTGTTCACCCATTCTAGGATCAGCAATTCTATCCTTGGGACATACAGATATTTGGTACTTATAAAAATAAAATTCCACACTCAGTAGTCATGTTGGTGTTTCATGGAACATACTCACCTCTGACTGAGCCTGGTTACTAGGATCACTTGTGTAAATACCCTGGTTCTGGTAACTTGTGGGCTGCTATAAATTCAACTCTGGCTTTACCCCCTCTCACCATTGTCTCTCAACTGTGCGTCCAATATTTTATTTTATTTTTATTTTATTTTATGACCTGTCCTGAGTGTAAGAGGCCAGAGACAGGCTCCAGAATCATATTGCCTGATTCTGTTAGCAGGAAAGCATCCTTTCTTGGACTATAGAGATCACAGACCCAGATCCCTCTAAAGATGGGGATGGTTTCAAAACTTTGAAAATGTTTGCCTTGAAAGGTCCCACAGATCCCAAACCCAGAGGTCAAGGATCACTAAGAATGGTTGTGACATTGTTCCCTTTAGTTTCCTGGATGGGTAGAGGAAATACCTATGTGCTATTAGAACCTTCTACATTGTGGTTAAGTGAGATAGGAGATGGGGCAACTTTTAAATGTTTTCCTTTTATGTCTCTTATCCTGGAGAACATACAGTTATTATATTGTTTTAAATTTTGCCTAATTAGTTTTGTTTTTTTTCAATATATTTTATTGATATTTTATAGAAAGGAGGAAGGGAGAGAGATAGAGAGCTAGAAACGTCAATGAGAGAGAAACATTGACCAGCTGCCTCTTGCACACCCCCTGTTGGGGATGTGCCTGCAACCAATGTACATGCCCTTGACCGGAATCAAACCTGGAATCTTTCAGTCCACAGACCGACGCTCTACCACTGAGCCAAACCGGTTTTGGCAAATTTTGCCTAATTAGTTTATATTATTTTATAGTAGTGCTCTATGATAAGCTCTGGAGGAATGGAGTTGTACATTTTATTTCTTTAATTTTTAGAAAGTAATTCATATATTTGTACTATGATTTTTAATTCTATAGAAAAGTTTAAAATATAATATGGCTTCCTCCCATATTCTGCTCCGAATTCTGTTACTAAACTAATTCTGTTTATTGTTGTTTCAAAAAAAATACACATATATATGAATATGCTTTTAATATTTTCACAGATTGTAGCATGTAATATTTATTCTTCTGTAGCCATTAATAACATATCTTATGTTCTTCCATTTCAAACTCTTAGTTTTTTTCTTCAAACTCCGTTATTTTTACTATAAGTACATTCTTGTTTATGGAGTTGTATTAGTATTCATTTTACTATTTATTCTCTTGGATGTGTTTAACCTTTCCATTTTTCTTGAGGATTGTAAATATAACTAAAGCATATTTTGTCTCTATAGCTTCTCTATTTTTTGAAATATTTCCCTAAGGTAAACACCCAAAAGAGGAATCACAGTTAAAGAATGTGAATACAGCCAAAACCGGTTTGGCTCAGTGGTAGAGCGTCGGTCTGCGGACTGAAAGGTCCCAGGTTTGATTCCGGTCAAGGGCATGTACATTGGTTGCGGGCACATACCCAAAAGGGGATGTGCAAGAGGCAGCTGGTCGATGTTTCTCTCTCATCGACGTTTCTAGCTCTCTATCTCTCTCCCTTCCTCTCTGTAAAAAATCAACAAAATATATTTAAAAAAAGAATGTGAATATAGCTTTTAAGACATCTTTCTACACAATTATCTGAAGATTTAGTGCTTAAATATGCCATTAGCAAGGAATAAGTATATGAGTTTCATTTCTATACTGCCAGCTTTGGGTATCAGTATCTCTATATTTGCATGCTTTGCTATTTAAATAGAAATAAAAGAGAGGCTTTTGCTTGTGGTGTAAGGTTAGGCATGTTCTGTATTTTCCACCTGTGAATATATTTGGTCTTTGTTCTCTGTTCCTGTATAGAGCTTCAAAAACCCTGGGAGTTTTCTGAATGACAGGATTGTCATTTCTTATTCAAAGCAAGCTTCTTTGTACCATTCTGAGTTTATGGTTCTGGAGTAATTCATGTGGGCCCTTAGTTTCAAGGGACAGGCTGCCTACTCCAGAAAGATCAAGCATGTGATTAAAGGGTGGGAACTTCCAGCTATCCTGTCCTCTGGGGAGGAGAATGGGTCTGGAGATTGGATTCAGTTCAATGGCTAAACATTTAATCAGTCATGCCTATGTAATGAAGCCCCCATAAAATCTCTGGACAATGAGGCTTGCATCAGCTTCCAGGTTAGTGGACTCATGGGTGTGTGGAGAAGGTGGTGGCATGCCTAGATTCCAGGGGGAAAGAGCATGGAAGCTCTGGGCCCCTCCCCACATAGTCCTTATCCTATGCATCTCTTCCATTTGGCTGTTCCTGAGATGTATTCTTTATCATAAAAGCCGAGTCATAAGTACACCACTTTTAATGAGTTCCGTGAGTTATTCTGGTGAATTATTTAACTTTAGAGGGCTGTGGAAGCCCTAAATTTGTAACCAGCTGAAGTATGGGGGGGGGGGGGGGGGGGTTGTAACATCCAGGACTTGCAGTTGGTGTTGGAAATGGAAGCAGTCTTCTGGGCCTGGGCCCCTTAACCTGGGCTAACTCTGGGTAGTTAGTATCAGAATTAAATTGTTTTGTGGGACAACCAGTGGGTGTTAGAGAATTGACCTTGAAGTATACCACCCTTGCCCACTTTTCCTCTACAAATGGAATGGAAGTCATTGCTGTCTCTCTGAGTATATTCTCCTTTTTTCCACCATCGCCAATTTACAGGGGGTGGCTAGGTTTTACAGGTCACGGAAAAAGCACTTGATCACCTCCCAGACAGAACACAAATGTGTCTTGGACTCTTGCCGTTCACTGGAAGCTGAGGGCTTTAAGGTCACCTACCTCCCAGTGAAGAAGAGTGGGATCATTGACCTGAAGGTAGGAGTGGCTCTTGGCATGAGGGGGAAAGTTGGAGGAGCATCGCTTCTGCCTGTGTATCTATATCTATCTTCAGTCTTAGCTTAAGCTTGAAGGACTAGATCTAATGATGAGGGTGGGGCTTAGAGAAGTAGGCCTAGCAGAGAAACCAAGAGCATGTTCCCTTTGAGTGTGTACCATCGTCCTTTTCTCTAGAGGATGTATTTCTCAGCTTTGTTGCTGCTTCCTGATTTGTGTGGGATGTGTGCGTAGGATGCCAGGGGCTGATATCATGGTGAAGCTCTGGCCTCTTCCTCCCCTACTCTAAAGAGGAGCTATAGTTTTTTGGAAAAATATTTTCCTTTTGGTCCTATGTCCTTATGTGTCCATTTTGGGTAGTGAGTCCAAGCATCTTGTCCACCAGAGTTTGGATACTAGCATCCCTAGACAAATCCTAAGATATAGTATGTAGACAGACCCCTGTCATGTACATTTGGAATTGATGAGGGAACATAAGATTACATGAAGGTTGGAGAAGCGAGGCAGAGAAATCTCCATGATTGGTTTACAGGATAGTTAACAAGATTATGTGCTCCTATGAGGTGTGGAAAAGAGGATTATTCTGGCTTTTTTATTTATTTTTTATTTTTATTGATTTTGTACAGAGAGGAAGAGAGAGAGATAGAGAGTTAGAAACATCGATGAGAGAGAGTCATCGATCAGCTGCCTCTTGCACACCCCCTACTGGGGATATGTCCACAACCAAGGTACATGCCCTTGACTGGAATCGAACCCGGGACCCTTCAGTCCCCAAGCCGACGCTCTATCCATTGAGCCAAACGGTCTCGACTATTCTGGCATTTCAAAGGTGTGTTAACCTAGATGCCCAAGGTAAACTTTTCACTAAAGAAGTTAGAGGTCAAGGGCATATGTACCCACCATACCTGCCCCGTTAAGAATTTTTTTTAGGAATTTAAAAATAAAATCTTCACCTGAGGATATTTTTCCCATTGCTTTTCAGTGAGAGACACAACTGGTTGCCTCCCACATGTGTCCCCAACCAGGGCCAGAGAGCGAACCTGTAACCCGGGTATGTGCCCTTGATCCATAACAGAAGCTGAGACCCTTAGGTGCTCAGGCTGATTCTCTAACCATTGATCCCACTGGTGGCTGTACCACTTTACATTTCCATGAGTAATATATGAATGATACCGTTTCTTTGCATTCTCCCCAGCAATTTTGTATTATCAGTATTCTGATAGGTGTGTAGCAAAAGGTCCCCTTTTCAAGACTAAGCTTGCCCACATTCTAAGTTAGGGAGTACCTGGTGGTGTTGTATAGCCTCCTTATTCCTGATATTCTTAGGAACTAGAGGATGCTATCCAGCCCGATACCAGCCTGGTCTCAATCATGTCTGTGAACAATGAGATTGGAGTGAAGCAGCCCATTTCGGAAATAGGTGAGTATGGTGGTGAACCCTGATGCTTGTCCACCAAGCATCTGAGTAGCGGGAGGGGGCTGGGAGCTGTAACACTTTATAGAACACAGTATGGAAACCTGGGGAAAGACACATTGTAAATGATGTAGCCAGTATTTGAATCCAGGTCTAGTACCTTTTATGTGCTTTTCATTTTACTGCAGTTGGTATAGTAAAAAAAAAAAAAAAAAAAATCCCCCAAAACCTCTGCTCTTCATTTTTTCTTCCTCTGGCTGTTTTCACTTTTGAACATCTCTTTATTATGCTAATTTAGAGCCAGACTTAACTTCCTGGTCACATTAGCAAATTCATCTGTTAATCTTTACCTCTTTTAAATAAAAAGGGTTATGAAAGTTGGTCTCTTTTACATAAAAAGGGTTATGAAAGACCAGTGTTGAAGAGAAAGAGAAACGACTTGTAAGGTTAGAGGCTAATGCCAAATGCAGTTTTGCCTTAGAACTCACGGAACATTGTAGGATCACTGCAGCGTGACTTTCCAACATGGTGCTCTGATCTTTCCCTCTGTTGTTTCCTCAGGGCAGATTTGCAGTTCCAGAAAGGTCTATTTCCATACAGATGCAGCCCAGGCTGTTGGAAAAATCCCACTTGATGTCAACGACATGAAAATTGATCTCATGAGCATCAGTGGCCACAAAATCTATGGTCCCAAAGGTACCAGCCCTTCCTAGAGTTCCTCTGCTCTGTACCTCCCAGTAAACCTTTTGATTGGTGATTCTTGTGTTGTAGGCAACATAGCACCAAGTGTCTATAGCTGGTGGGGTCAGACCAGACCTGGGTTCAGCAACTTCAGTATTTGAGTTTTGGCTAGGAAAGAATTTAGAGCCAAGACCCAAACTATAAGAGAACATATATGTAGTTAAGCACAGAGGTAGAAAAAGTAATTCCTGGGAGAAATGGGCTTAGGAAACAAGTCATAGAGGTAAAGGAAGAACCCTTGAAGGTAGGGAGTGAGGAAGATAATGGTAACATGCCTTGGGGGAGGGTAGAGAGGGGTAGAGAAAGGGAAAGGCATGGTCATGCTCTGGGGAGGGAGAGCACTGGGTGGAGATTTAATTTTATTTATTTATTTATTTATTTATTTATTATTATTATTTAAAACACATTTGAGAGAGAACATTGATTTGTTGTTCCACTTATTTATTGGTTGATTCTTTAAAAAAAATTTTTTTTAAATAAATATATATGTTTTATTGATTTCAGAGAGGAAGGAATAGGAAGAGAGAGATAGAAACATCAGTGATGAGAGGGAATCTTTATTGGCTGCCTCCCGCATGTTGGACCGAGCCTGCAACCCAGGCATTTGCCCTTGACTAGAATTGAACCTGGAGTCCGCAGGCCAACACTCTATCCACAGAGCCAAATTGGCTTGGGCTGGTTGATTCTTTTTTAAAAATATTTTTTAATTGATTTCAGAGGTAAGATCATGATTTCAGAGAGAAAGGGAGAGGTAGAGAGAGACAGAAACATCAACGATGAAAGAGAATCATTGGAGCCTGCAACTCGGGCATATGCCCCTGGCCAGAATCTAACCAAGGACCCTTCAATCCACAGGCCAACACTCTAGCTCATCCACTTAGCCAAACCAGCTAAGGCTGGATGGAGATTTTAAGGGAGGTCCCACAGGAAGATCTTATTAGAATACTCAGCCCGGCTGGCATGCTCAGTGGTTGAGCATTGACCTATGAACCAGGAGGTCATGGTTAAATCCCCAGTCAGGGCATATGCCTGTGTTGCAGGCTCAATCCCAATGTGGGATGTACAGGAGACAGCCGATCAATAATTATCTCTATCATTGATGTTTCTAGGTCTTTCTCCCTCTCCCTTCATCTCTAAATTAATAAAATCAACAAAAATATATTATAAAAAAAATATTCAGCAGCTTTCCAGATGTGTCCTTTCAGAGTCTAAGTCTCAACTGCAGTGGGTCTTTAGTCAATGCAGCTGGTCCTGAGGTCAGCCAGGGGGTCACTAGTCTGGTTTTGCTGCTTTTCTGGGCCCGGAGCTGAAATAAAACTGATGTTATCTCTAAGAAGGAAAAGGTAAGGGGGTCTAAACTGCATGACCAGCAAAATGCTAGGGGAAGAACAGTCACCTGGGGGCGAGGTCCAACCCTACAATTGTCCTTCGTTGGGCACTCAGGACTTTCTTCCTGGTGACCTTTTGTACTTGGCCCATTAGGTCGATGCTCAACAACTTAGTCACACAGGCTGGGTATATCTTTTTAAAAATAATTAAAGTACTCTCCTTAACCAGTTTGGCTCAGTGGATAGAGCGTCCGCCTGTGGACTGAAGGGTCCTGGATTCGATTCTGATCAAGGGCATGTACCTTGGTTGCAAGCGTGATCCCCAGTAGGGGGCGTGCAGGAGGCAACTGATTGATGTTTCTCATCGATGTTTCTAAGTCTCTATCCCTCTCCCTTCTTTGTAAAAAATCAATAAAGTACATTAAAAAAATTAAAGTATAGATTGTTAAAATTTTAAGTGTTTTCTAATAGTGTATCTTGGAGATTTTACAGCGGCAGTATAAAAGGAGCTTTCTCATTCTTTTATACACCTGCTTTGTATTTCATGTGTCATAATTTATTTGCCCATACTCCTGATGAAAGACATCTAAGATGTTTCCTTTTTTTTGCTATTGTGAGTAATGCTGCATTCGGTGATGCCATTTTACACATGCTTACGGAGCTACTTTGAACTTAAAAATGAGTTTTGACTCCTTCTGGTAGTTACCCTCCTGATGTTAAATAATTTTGATATAACCCCAGCTGGTTTGGCTCGGTGGATAGAGCATTGGCCTGCAGACTGAAGGGTCCCAGGTTCGATACTGGTCAGGGGCCCATGCCCGGGTTGCAGACTCGATCCCCAGTAGGAGGGGTGCAGTAGGTAGCCGAACAATGATTCTCTCTCATCATTGATGCTTCTCTCTCTCTCCCTCTTCCTTCCTCTTTGAAATAAAAAAAAATATATATATATTTAAAAAATAATTTTGATTTGATATGTATTATGCTTTTACTGCTGTTTATTTTTGTCCTCAACCTTTTATATTTTGAAAAATGTCAAGCTTACAGAAAAGTTGAAAGACTATTTTGACCCCTTTGGAAAGTTATATTTTGTTTCACCTGCATTTTTCTTTTTCTCTTTTATGTAACAAACTTTTGTTTCCCAGGGGTTGGTGCCATCTACATTCGCCGCCGGCCCCGTGTGCGTGTGGAGGCCCTGCAGAGTGGAGGGGGGCAGGAGCGGGGTATGCGGTCTGGGACAGTGCCCACACCCTTGGTGGTGGGCCTGGGGGCAGCGTGTGAAGTGGCCCAGCAAGAGATGGAGGTATGGAGAGAGCAGTTTCCTCTCACAAGCTTTTCCCCTGTGTTGAGTCTCCTGTTAGAAGCTTCTTAGCATGATGAGTCAGATCTCTGGCAGAAGAGGACGTTTAAGAAAACTGTCTTTGTCTCAGTGCTGCTGGCATCTTGTTTTGGAGGGAGGTGTTATGGGCTCTAAAATTCAGGTCCTTTCAGTAGTTATCAGCTCATTTATTTCTGGGTATTGGAACCCATGTGTCCAATTATTTAGCACCTTTGCATACTAGGTGCTGTGCTCCATGCTGGGGATACGGTGGTCTCCAAGAGTAGCATAGGATGACAGATAGGTCTAATGCACAGTCACTTCTGGACACAGGAGGAGGGCTCCTTGTCCTGTGCTGTTGATGGTCACTATGCCTAGTTCTCTCTTGCCTGTTCCTTAGTACGACCACAAGCGAATTTCAAAGTTAGCAGAGAGACTGATACAAAAGATTATGAAGAGCCTTCCAGATGTTGTGATGAATGGGGACCCTGTTCACCATTACCCAGGTATGGACATGCCTTTTCTATGCCCATTCTGGAAGAGCCTGAGACTAAGACTCCTCTCATAGTGGTTCTTTTTTCCAGGTTGTATCAACCTCTCCTTTGCCTATGTGGAAGGGGAGAGTCTACTGATGGCACTCAAGGATGTGGCCTTATCTTCGGGGAGGTAAGTTGGACCAGATAAAAAGGACTATGGCAGGACCAATTAGCCAGGCTTTTAAGTGTTATAACAGATTATTGAGCTTTCCAGTATAGAAATAACAGAGATAAGAGCTCTTGGTTAAGAATAAAGGTCATTTTGTAAGCATCTGTATACTTATTTATTTTTATGTTTTGTTAACCCTCATCCAAGCATATTTTTTCATTGATTTTTAGGGAGAGTGGGAGAGAGAAGAACAGACAGAGAGAAATGTCAATGTAAGAGAAACACACCGATTGGTTGCCCCCTTCACTTGCCCCAACCAGGGCCCTGGAAGAGAGGAGCCTGCAACCAAGGTACATGTACTTGACCAAAATCGAACCCAGGAACCTTAGGTCCACAGAATGATGCTCTATCCACTGAGCCAACCTGGCTAGGGCGTAAGCATCTATTTTTTTAGCTAGCTGGGCACAGGCTGAAATTGCAATTCTAGGAGGGCTTCTTGGGGTAGAATTTTGTACGTGTTATAGTCCTGGGAGATGCAAGTATCTGTTCTAGTATTATATTAGCAGTTCTGTAGTAGGCCTCAGAACTGAAGTATACTTTGAAGGCCACCATGGGGTTAGCTGCCATCTATGCTGATACAATATGGTGTATTCAGTCACAGGAGAGTGAACACTGTTCTGCTGCCTCTTGTTGTCAGACCAGCTCTTGTTGTGGTGTCATTCTGTGGCAATATCCTTGTTCAAGTTTAACCTCCATATGGCCCAGAGGAGCTTGATTTATATCCCAGAAAGTTACAGTAGCATCCGGCCCTTTGGCTCTGACAGATGGGAATGTCTTTTTTGTCTCCATGTTATGACTCTAGGGGCCTGGGAGATGGGAGAAGTCTGGGGGTTTGGGGCTAAAATCAGATGCTGGTGAACCGAGCAAGGCTCTGCCTCTTTCTCCTCAGTGCGTGCACTTCTGCATCCCTAGAGCCCTCTTATGTCCTTCGAGCAATTGGCACTGATGAGGATTTGGCTCACTCTTCTATCAGGTCAGTCAGCTGAGCTGTAACATTTATGAAAGGCGTCTTTTTGTGTGTTTCACCTCCTGTTATCGTCTCCTCAACCTAGTTTTCCTTATCCCTCCTTAAGTCTTCATGAACGTTTCTAGACCAGTGATTTTCAGACTTCACTGACTAACACGTGGGAAGTTTGTGTCAGATGAAGATTTCTGAATCCTAAACTCTGAGAAAATGATTCACTAGGCCTGGAGGAATAGGAAACTCTGCAGATTCTGATGTGGCTGGTCCACAAACCACAAAACTGAGCCCTAGAGGGGAAGGACCGTGTCTCTCCATGTTGTGTGTGGAGTAAATCCTCAGAGTATTTGCTAGTGAATTTATCTCAGTGCTAGAGCTGTGATGCAGAGCTCTTCTCCTATGCCCTTTTCAGGTTTGGCATTGGCCGTTTCACCACAGAGGAGGAAGTGGACTACACGGTAGAGAAGTGCATTTACCATGTGAAGCGTCTTCGTGAAATGAGGTATGCACCGTTGTAGCAGAGACCCCGTGGAAGGAATTGCAGTGCTCATGCTGGGTTCACATAGCCGGAAACCAGAGTTTGCAAATAATTGGATTTTAGGATTTAGAGGTTCCACAAAGCAAAAAAGTGAATATCTTTGGCTACTTATTTTCAGAATATGGAAAAATGTTTTTAAAAACTAAAGCAGCACATAAATTCAGGTGTTTTTTGGAGTCTTCATAGTTGTCATTGCAGCAATATCAATACACAATTTGTGATTTGTAGTTTAAGTATAGGAAAACTCCCTTTAATAAAGGATTCTTAACTGCTTCTCCTCTAAGCCCTCCCTCATCCAATATCTCTTCTCTTTGGCAGCCCTCTCTGGGAGATGGTGCAGGATGGCATTGACCTTAAGAGCATCAAGTGGTCCCAGCACTAGAAGAGTGGGCCTCGGACATTGTGCTTCCCGTTTGCTCCTCGTCATCACTGCGTGGCCCCGCATTACACCCAGTGGGCGTTTATGTTCAAATCAGAATTGGGATAGCCCGGTTGACTTCAGCATCAGCTCACTTCCAAGACAGAAACACAGGCTCTTTCCTGGGTTTCAGCTTTTTTTTGGTGGGAAACACTCCCCATTTATCTCCAGGAGTCCTCTGTTCTTATCGTCAGTGGATGTCTTACCTTGAAACGGAAGGAACATTTGTTATGATCTTGCTCTATATCCTTGGTGGAGAGAACCAGAAGAGAAGAAGGCTCTTTGTTCAGGGACCCTGTTGCTATACATGGACATTTGAGTTGTTGCTTACTGCTACTAGCAAGACTGATTCCTTTAGGAACAACATAATCAACTATAATTTAAACTTTTTTGTGGCCTCAAAGGCCACATCTTCATATTGACTGTAGATGGAACAGACTGTTCTTATCTCCTTTTCTTTTGACCTAGTGGAGTGAGAAATATCTATATAATAATACCCATTATTTTGATAATTTGTTTCTTTTTAAAAAATTGTTAATTTGCAGATTAGAGAAATAAAATTGTCTTCCTCTATTTGCTCTGTGACTTTATGAGAGGCCCAGGGAGAATTCCAAGCTGTGATTCGGAATTGGGGAGACTACTACTCCACTTGATTTCCATAGATGACTCAGTGTGCTTGCATATGTCTTCTTTCAACAATTATTTGAGTGCTTGTCAGGAGCTTGATATTATTCTGGGTATTGGGGATACATTGGTTAACAGACCAAAAGGACCTTCCCCTCATTCTTGTTGAGAGTCAGAAAATAATGAGTAAATAAATAAGCCTATGGAAGAAATAGAGTAGTAAAGGAGATAATGGGGAGAACCTACTATGTTGGACATACTTTGAAATCTTTTTTGAGGAGATAAGAACAGTCTGTTCCATCTACAGTCAATATGAAGATGTGGCCTTTGAGCAGAAATGTGATTTCCAGTCATTGGAAAGAGCTAGGGATGAGTGAGGGATGAGAAGGAGCAACAAAAGCAAAGGGGACATGTTATACTGGACTCTAAGCCACTTCCTACTCCAGTAGTACATTTATCCAATAAACAGTCATTGATCGGTGAAAAAAAAGCAAAAGGGCCTGAGCTATGAAAAAGCATGGTGTGTTTGAGAAACCAATAGAAGGCCAATGCAGCTAGAGTAGAGTTTTTTCCATTTGTGGGTCTGAAGACATAGGTGGATAGTTAACAGAACACAATCGAATGAGAGAAAAATAAATGAGACTACATCACACATATTTTTAAATTATTTATTTGCATGTATATACTAAGTTGCAAATGTATTTCTTATGCTGGCGATGATCAAAAAAGTTTGAAAGCCACTAGTCTAAAGTATGGTGAATGTAGATGGACAGGAGGAGATGAAATACATTTTTTAAATAAATTTTTTTCCAGTAATTTTAGATTTACAAAAGGTTGTAAAGATAGTACAGTTGTATATTAATCACCCAACTTCCTCTAATTTAACTTGGTACTTTTGTCAAAACTAAAACTAACATCAGTACATTAATATGAACTAAACTTCAGATTTTATTCAGATCCCAACTGTTTTCCTGTTTCAGGATCCAATCCTGGACACAACATTGCATTTAGTAAGTTTTTTCTTCTTTCTTTTCTTTTGACTCGGTGCAGGAAAGTTTCCACAAAATGAGTCCAGGTGATTTTGAGATTATATTTGTTAAAGCTGAGGACAGTGAAACCATAAAGAGTTTAGGAGAAAGGAAGCATCAGGAGAGAGACTAGTGAGGCTGCTTTGGTTCTCTAGAAACCTATAGGAAAGAAATGAGCCTAGGCAGTTACTTTGGTTCACTGGAAAGTCAGAGAAAAGGGGCCTTGGAGACAGAGACAGGTTCGGGGGGTTATCTTGGGATGAACTGCAGCTGCCCACTGCTCCCCGGGCTGCAGGTCTCCTGGTAACCCAGTTTAGGAGGTGCATACCTGAGAGGGAAGAAAGGCATGCTCCCTGGAGAGATGCCTAGTAGGTTTTGTTTGTAATGCACTATATTATACCTACAAAGAGTATATTGAATAAAGTATAGATTTCATTTAAGTGTGGGCTGGTCCTGGCCAGGTAGCTTAGTTGGTTAGAGCATCACCTTAATACACCGAGGTTATGGGTTCCATCCGACAGTCAGCACACATATAAGAATCAACCAATGAATGCATAAATAAGTGGAACAACAAATTGATGTTTCTCTCAAATCAATTTTTAAAATGTGATCCTTTTCTTTTCTTCCTTTGAAATTGTAAGAGAAAGTTTATTTAGAAAGTTACAGAGGCAGTGGAAGTGAGCCAGAGGGGCTGAATTGGCTCAGGAAAAAAAATACAGAGGCAGAAGGGCCCTTGGAGCTTAGGTGAGAGAAAGGCAAAGGTGACCTGCCTGGAGGGAAGAGGAGGGAGAAGGGAAAGGCCAGTAGGTGCTCCAGAGAGGGAGAGTGAGCCAGGCCTGGTTTTGTAATTTGCTAGTTTTGGCACACTGGGCCAGCACCAGGCAAGTCTGCCACATTAATCTAACTAAAAGCATGTTGAAGTGGAAATTTAGTCCCTGTTTTTATTAGTTAACTCCTCACTTTGGAAAATTAGTTCAATTATGGTGATATTCATGAACATATGTTCATGAAGATACCAGCGGCCCGGTGCATGAAATTCATGCACAGGTGGGGTCCAGAGGCCTGGCTGGGGATCAGAGATGATCAGGTTCCCCACCTCTGCCTCCTCCTTCCCTCGCTCCCTCAGTGCCCTGCCACAGCTGGCCACTGCCATGTTCTGCCCTCTCCCTGAATAATTGGGAAAGCTTATGTTCAGCACACATCATAGTGGGTGGTCGAACTCCGAAGGGGACAATTTGCATATTAGCTTTTTATTATATAGTATATATAGAATAGAGCAGTGGTCAGCAAACCTTGGCTCACGAGCCACGTTCGGCTCTTTGGCCCCTTGAATGTGGCTCTTCCACAAAATACCTCGTGCGGGCGGCACTCACATACAATTCGACTTAAACTTCATGGCCCATGAGCAGAAGTCAATTTTCAGCCTGGGCAAGTCTATTTTGAAGAAGTAGAGCCACACTCAAGGGGCCAAAGAGCCGCATGTGGCTCCCGAGCCACGGTTTGACGACCACTGGAATAGAGTATAGGCAGGGGCAGTTGGAGTCTGGAGGCCTAGACCAAAGCAGCATCAGAATAACTTTTCTTTTTTTTTTTTTTTTTTTAATATATTTTATTGATTTTGTACAGAGAGGAAGGGAGAGATAGAGAGTTAGAAACATCGATGAGAGAGAGTCATCGATCAGCTGCCTCTTGCACACCCCCTACCGGGGATATGCCCGCAACCAAGGTACATGCCCTTGACCGGAATCGAACCCGGGACCTTTCAGTCCCCAAGCCGACGCTCTATCCATTGAGCCAAACCGGTCCCGGCAGAATAACTTTTCTATAATAATACTGAAGTGGCCGAAACCGGTTTGGCTCAGTGGTAGAGCGTAGGTCTGGGGACTGAAAGGTCCCAGGTTCGATTCAGGTCAAGGGCATGTACCTTGGTTGCGGGCACATCCCCGGTAGGGGGTGTGCAAGAGGCAGCTGGTCAATGTTTCTCTCTCATCGACGTTTCTAGCTCTCTCTCTCCCTTCCTCTCTGTAAAAAATCAATAAAATATATTTTAAAAAAATAATACTGAAGTGCAGTTGTGAATGGGTTAATGAAGACTGGTGGGTCAGGCTCCCCGATTGAAATTTTTTAATGGAAAAAGAATGAGGTTTTGGTTCTTCTGACAGGGAATCATCACTAGGCACCATTTTATGGTCCTTTTAACTCTCAAAACAATCACCCCAAGCAGGTATTTATCTCCTTTCGCAAAGGCTTAAGAAAGTGAAGCAATTTGCACAAAGCCCCGCAGTCAGGGGCTGACCCAGATACCGTATCCATCCCGCCACCAGCGTGTGACTCTAAGGCGGGGCTAGTGCGCCAGAGTCGCTCGCAGGGACTCACCGCTCTTTCCACCACCAACCGGGGCAACTTCCGGGAGGTCGCCCGGAAACGTCATTGCGCTTGCGCCGTCTCGCCCATGACGTCACGATCCAATCCCGCCCCTTCTGGAACGCGGACCTGCGGAGCGGGCCGGCGGCCATTTTGTGAAGCGGCGAAGGAGGTGGTGGCTGCTCTAGGCTCCGGGAAGCCGTTTCGCGTAGGGGCAGTCCGCCGCGGGCGGAGCCACTCTCTTGGGGAGTAACTCGGCTCTGGGTTCGGGTGCCGCGCAGTTCTCCCCGGTAAGACTCCCGCAAGCCCCGGAACTGGCGGGGCTGTGCGGGGCTCGAGCCGCCCCTTGGTGGCCCGGGGCGGGGCCTTCGGAGGCCTCGCAGCCCGCCGCAGCCCGCCGCAGCGGGCGCCCCACACAAAAGGGTCGGGTGTGACTGCTGGCCGCCTCCTTGCACCTCTGAATCCCGAGAGTATTCCAGAAGGATGCCAGAGACGATGGGTCTGCTTCCGGAAGGGGAAACGAGGCTGTAGGGAGGGCGCCCTATGGTCTGAGAGGGGGCCGGCGTTGGGTGGCCCCGCGGCAGAGAACGCTTACCCACATCCTCCGTGGAGCGAGGTTTTCCAAGCCCCCAAAGGGGGTTAGGGATTATAACTACCTTTCTGGGCCCCGGAGTGAGGGGCTAATCATGGTGAGGACACTTCCTCCACCCGAAGTGGGAAGGAGGCCGGGTGGCTTATCAGGAAAAGGGACTAGACTCAGGGCACCTCTGCGGGGAGGAAGCTGTAGCCGGTCCTTTCCTAGGAGTCTAGGAAAGAAGTTTCCGAGCTGGCCGTTTTCGTGGCCTGGAGGTGGAAGGGGTTGCAGTTGAAATGCTTCCAGAGCCCACGTTGGTATCCCTTTAAGAGGGCGCTTTTGATGCAGAGTGAGTTTTCGTTGGTGGAGGCTGGTCCTGCTGCTCTGCAGCCACGTGAAATGTGTGGGAGGAGCCTTCCGGACCTACGGCTTAGTGACTGCGATGGACGCTGGTGCAGACGCTTAACTGCTAGATTGTAATCGTACGGGCTTTATGTGCGCCACCAAAGGGTGCCTTATTGTGAAAAATCCGAGGGTTATTCTGGTTATTGGGCGCTAAGGCGTATGCCGGGGGTGGTTGTTATACTGGGAGTTGCAGGCTCTGTAGAAGAGATTTTTGGACTCTTAAAATCCTCCTTTGGTCCAGGATTCCCAGAGATGACCCGATGTAAATTGGGGTTGTTGGCAGGAACCATTCTGTATTATTCAAGATTAGGGTGATGCTATGCAGTATAACTGGGGGGGAAATTGCAGTTGAAGTTTTGTTGGGGAGACATGTGATGGAAGTATTTCTCTTAGAGTTCCTTGCTTGACTGGTTTAAAGTGGTGCTTTTTTTTGGCAAATGCAGTGTTAGGAACATGAATTGCCTTGGACTTTGGTGAATAGTTCATATTAATGCGTTTTAGAGCATTTTCAGTTGAGAAAAATTCTACAAGTCTGGACATAAAGGTCGATCTTACTTTGTTTTAATTACAGAAATACAAGACTGGTTGTACTTGATTTTGAAATTTGGTGGCTTTGATAGAACGGAGAATTTCTGGACGTTGTGGAAAGTAATTATGTTAAGGTATTTTCCAAGAATATTAAAAAATTGGGGAAGAATTGTTATAGGTGATTAAAATAATTTTATGGTAATTTTTGAAGAAAATGAAGTGTTTAGTGTGTTTATATAAAAGTAGAGGATGTGCTTATATTGCTGGAATTTTATTTTGAACAAAACGGAATGCATTTTTATATCACCTTTATATGCTCCATCAAATGTTTGATAATGCTGTTTATAGGTTGTAATGCACAATTTCAATTTTTCTTATGTTCATATCTGTTAGGTGAAACTTGAGAAACCATTGTGGTAGTTACTTGGAACATATTGTTATGTGCTAATTGCAGTATAATTCAGGCTTTCACTTTATTTGACATGCCAAATGTTTTGATTGTTGCTTATTGAGAATTTGGGGGCTCTTGGTACAATTTTTTATATGAAACTTGATTTTGTGGGCAGTGTGTTCTAGGAGTTGAAATCCAGT